TGTGATGGACCCAAAAATTAAAAAACTTAACCCTCTCTCAAAATTTGAGGTTTCACGTTTCAGGATGCATAGAATTCGAAAAAAGAATCAAAATTTTTTTGTCCGTCCGCCATCCGCCGTCCACAGTCCGCCGTCCACGCATTTTCTCCGAAACTACTGAACCAATTTTTTTCTAATTTGGATATAAAATCAGAGGTCGCCCGAGGATGATCCTCCTTCAACAACCTTATTATACGCCTTTTACTTTCAAAATGGCGGCCGAAAAACCTGCGTTGCTATAGACTGTAGCGCCTAAACGAATGTAGCGATTTCTATGATACTTCGCTAAAGTCATTTTCTCTACGCCCTTTAAATTTATCTATATAACATATTTCAACGAAAAGAAGCTGGAAAAATGTTACGAAGGATGGTAAAATTAAATTCCGAATAACTCAAAAAGTTTACACTTTTTTGTAGATAGTGTATATTTCCTAAAAAACAAATCGTTAAAATCGGACAATTAGGAGCAAAGTATGGTCTCCGGTTTTTTTTTTTTATATGTTCTACTCCAAATGTTAGATCCTCTGTTTGGTTTTTAAATTTTGAATGTGTTACTGAAGTAATGCTATTTTTAATGCTCGTTCAAAATATTTTAAAAGAAAAGACTTTTTTTAATTAAATATATGTTTGAAAGTTGTTGAGAACCTGGAGTCTGGATAAAAAATACCTGGTCTAGAAAACGCGCTTCATGGAGTTCCTCCAGAGTAGGCCTTAAAGCGTGAGCTGGAAATATGATATCCCTGTAGTTCTCTGCTCTCGGAAGAGCCTCCCTGGTTAGCTGACCAAGGCTCTTCGAGTTGGAAGACTCGTAGGGGCTTTCGGGTCCTCCGACGACAGACACCCTGGCCACCCGGAACCTGGAACTCTCCCATAGTGGTACTTCGAGAAGGCTGCTACTCTTCCTCTCTGCCTCCATGCCGCAGACTGGGCATCGCCACGATGGGAGGGGAGAGAGAGCTTAAGACAATTGCCATCTATTGGGGCGAATAAATGAGCAGACCTACGCCTGCTATAAACCAGGTTTATTGGTCAGCAGTAGCGGATCTAGGGTTTAATTTTGGGGACTGCAACCCGAAAGCTTTTGTGTATATATATATATATATATATATATATATATATATATATATATATATATATATATATATATATATATATACTATATATGTACATATCTATATAAAGATTTTGGATTTTGTCTGCACATTGAATAGAATCAACCCGTTTTATGATATCTTTCCGTTTCATATATTGCAGACACCAACTCCACTTTTAAAAACATTTTTGTCAGTCTGTATGTCCGAATTGCAACGAAATTTTGTCAGGGGTATGCTCAGCAATGGCTTATTGTACACTTTTGAAATTTTAACATTCTTTAAGGTTTTCTTGACTTAAAATATAGGCTTTAAATGAAAACAAAATATTGAGTAGAACCAAAGTAATGAATTTTTGAGTAATTTCTACAGAAATCTTGGTTAATGTTGATAATAAATGTTAATAATAAACATATGTTTATAGGTTAAAGAACATCTATGTAAATAAAATAAAAGTGTTGTCTGTAAATTGAGTAGAATCAACCCGTTTTATGATATCTTTCCGTTTCATACATTACAGACACCAAATCCACTTTAAATTTTTTTTTGTCTGAATGTCCGCATTGTACAACGAAATTTTGTCAAGGGTAAGCTCGGCAATACCTAATGGTAGATCTTTGAAATTTTGACATAATAACTAGGTTAGCTCGACTTAAAACATAGGCTTTAAATGAAAACAAAATATTGAGTAGAACCAAAGTTATGAATTCTTGAGTAATTTGTCTAGAGCTACCTGTTAGGCAGTTACTTCGATTCTCATTCCAACCTACTCTACTGCAAGCCACATTTAAAAGTTGTACATTCAACTGATGAAAAAAAATATCACTACTCAACGAGAAAAATCCGGAATACCGAACATGAAGTTCTAATTTTACATGAATGTAGGTGACTCAATGTCCGATGTTATTTTGATTATTTTGCCAGCGATAAGCTCAGCAGAGTTTAAAGAAGTTGAGAGACTACAACTCTTTTTGATTAATTAATCGGCTCCACAATTTTCTCGCTTCATCATACATAAAAATTAAACAATTAAAAAATTGTAATAGCTCGGTAGTGGTCGGTTTAGTTGTGTGGTACCTAAACAAATAGCCGAATAACAAAGTTTTTGTTATGCCTATTGCGAAACTTTGACTTCCATATGCCCCGCCATAAAAAAATTCAAAACAACCCCCCTCCATCCTCTCGATCCAATTTTATGAAATTGTATTTGGACCCTCCTTCTCCCCAAAATACAAAATCCATCTCAAAAAAAGATTCTCAAATTTTAACTATACACCCGTCAACGATGGGTGCATCTACTAGTACACATATATAACAATAGTTTATTTATTGTAACGTTTGTTTTTATTATTGTTGAAATTAAATTCCTTATTTATAAGGTGTTAATGTTCGTTTTTTAAAAGAATATTTAAACAAATGAAACAGTGAAGGAAGAAATTTCTAGACTGGAGGTATAAATATATAATAATACTGTTAGGTATATTATTACTCATTTATTTTAGTTATAATGATGTAGAGATGGTTGACCGCGATATAATATGAGAAGGAGTTGGTTGGGGGATGCGGTCAAATAAATACAAAATTTTTAAAAAATAGTATTTATAATTGTTACGCCGACGTTTCGACCCACCTTGCAGGTCGTCATCAGTGCGTGACAAGTGGCACTGCAGGAAGCAGTCAACTATTTATTTCAATATAATATCAGGTCCAAAGTTATTAAACTACAGTAAATGCCTTTAAGGTTAAAAATATGTCCATGAAATATTTTATATTTCACTTCTTCTTTCGCACAATTACATTGAAATAGTATTTTAACAAATTTCATTGCCTTGATTCGATACATTTTAAATACTTTTTTTTTCAAATTTAGTAAGAAAATTTCATTTAATTTCCTTGAAAACATGTGACTTACGTTAAATAATGTCAGATTTCAGAAGTTATTATTTATATTTTTTTTTCGTCACTCTCTGTTTCCTTCTACATTTATGTATATTATTTATTCATGAGATATTATTTTTCTAAAATTCTCCGCTTTCCAACGATACGTATACCTTCTGACTATTATTTCCGAAGATTTATTTTCGACCTGGATAAGCATTTTTCTTTTATTCAATTATCGTGTTCTTTCAAACATCATTTTTAGCCATTTTTTATAGTAACTGTGAATAAAACACAGTTTTTTTTTTTTTTTAATAAACCATATTAAAGGTACTTTAGAGGAAGACATTTTGAACATAGTGGATTTAAGCCATGTTAAGTGACATCAATATGGATAAGACCTATATGATATTAAAGATTATTTAATTATACATTAATCAAAATCGTTCGAGCCGTTTTTGGGAAAATCATAAAAATGTGTAAAATCGGCGATATAAAGTAACACGTCCGGTTATCCGATTTTAATGAAAACATTGCTGTCACATCCGAGCCATATATAAATCTTAAATATATAATTTCAGTTTCGTACGACTTTCCGTTTTTGAGCATTACGTAACTTGGTGATTTCGACTCAGAGAAACTCAAAGCGTGTATTTACGTTGACAACTCAGATTCGAAAATTTTCACTATCACAATACTTTTCCTTACTATATATTATATATATATAGGTAAGTGAAAGTAAAAATAGAACATATTGTGATTGTTAAAATATTCAGCTTAGATCACTCTCAATCACTAGCGGATTCAGGGTTTAATATTGGGGAGGGGGGGAAGGGGCTTAAGCCCGAAAGCTTTCTTTTTCATTTATAAATAATGATTCTTGGAGTCCTAGTAAATGTAATTACACGAAAAATAATACTTTGAGAGATAGTTTTTAATATTTTTTTCTATAAAACATGGTAATACTTTACCATTTGGGAGGGGGGCTTCAGCCCAAAAGCCTCTCCCCTCCCCTCACCATAGACCCGCCTGTGCTCACAATAACAAATATATACCAGTGAAAAAAAAATTCAGTGTTAGTACGTTTTGAAAATTGAGTATGCACGGAGTCATTCATAATTCGGAGATTCCAGGCCCAATTCACTTCATCAAAATCCATTGCTTCTAAGAGCCAGAAAATGGATCTATACTACCATTTATACATACATAGCACGGGCGGACCTACGGGGGGGCTTTCGGGCTGAAGCCCCCCCACAAATGGTAAAATATATTCATGTTTTATCGAAAAAAATATTTAAAAAGTATCTCTTAAAGTATTATTTTTCGTGTAATTATATTTAAAAGGGCTTTAGGAATCACTTAAATACCATTTCATACAGGTAGTTAGTTTCTTCCTTTTTTTCCAAAGTAATTATCGTTATTTTTATGAAAAAAACAACTTTCGGGCTGAAGCCCTCCCCCCAAAATTAAATCCTGGATCCGCTAGTGATACATAGTAAAGAAAAGTCTTAATGGTTAAATTGATTCTTATTCAAAGTGAATTTCTAGAATAATAGATTCTATATAAATACATAAATAATATCACTATATAATGAGAAGATTGTTAAAGGAAAAAAAAGAAGTTCGAAAACAAAACTTCTCCACATATTGTTGTCACGTTCACGCGAAATATTTGACTCCATATTGTTACAAAAACATTTTCAGATATATATTAAGTTAGAGAACCTAGAAGAATTTTCAAAGGATCATATTGAAAAATGAAATAAGAGACGATGTACATATATATCATATCAAATCATTCTATTAAATATTATTACTTCATAATTGTTTACCAAATGTTTAATTAAATTAATAAATTCTTGTCTGTAATATTTTTTCTTCTTCAAATTGTTTTATATACTTATCAACATTACTCATTAATTTTCATCTGCCATTGATAGGAATTTCTATCTATTTATTTGCAAACAGTACAACATTGTTCAGATAACCTGCTGATAACAAACCTCGATTTCTAAATAAACATTGATGCATTCTATGGTTTTTACTCTTCGTTTCACATCAGTAAAATTGTTTAGTTTGAAAATGAATGAGGCAGAAATCAGAACATCTCGAATAAACATATTGTAATGTTTCTAGGAAGACTGGTGAGTCAGCTATTGAAACATATAGTTTTCAAAGAATGACACCAAAGTTTTCAATAAATATGTTTAAATTAGTTTAATATTTGCGTTGCATGTTTTAATATTTACACTTATGTTTACATTGTGGTTTCTGAATTTAATTTAAAACTGTAAATTTTCATTGTGTTATTCTCGGATATTTGGGTTGCTTTTCTTTGGAACTGTTAAGGTGATTTAATTATTTGTATATTTCACAGCTTGAGATATTTTCTAATGGTCTAAAAAGTAAACCTAGTACAAAGTGTTGCTGTATACTTCAGAGCAAGGAAATTTATTGTGGGATAGAGTGAAAGGTTATTGTTACCAATATAAATATTTAGTAGGGTTTAAATCTTTTTATTTGATTTGAATCGTCCTTTATGTTTGTAATAATTAGTGCTTTATTGTAAGTGCTGAGCTTAACAATATAAATAATTACATTAGAAATGGATAATTGTATCTGTCATTCTGTTTATACTTGGTTAAAATAAAACATTGTTCATATCTTCACAGTGTTTTCATGATTTTTCCATTGAGCTCCTATTTTAAATTCATAGTTTTGAATCCTTTAAAAAGTATTGGTGCTACTTCACATTAGCTACCCCAAAATGACTGATGGTTTCTATTAATCAAAACATGACTGTACATCAAATGCTAGAATTAATAAAATCTAAACAATAAGATTGATCTCAAATGAAAAGGACCCTTTGATGACTTTTTTATTTCTTGAGCGAACAGAAGTTCGCCAATACTGATCTAATTAATGCTAAAATTGTTTTTATTTCTAATATAAATCAAAACAGTGAGTAATCACTTTAATAAATATATATATTAATTAAAGTAGTTGTAATTGTAGTGTACAATGTTAATCATAACTTACCCCTCCTTTAAAGGAAGGTAATGTAATCTTGCTCGACTACTTTTGATTTTTAATGTACTCTCTGGTTTGGTTATTGGAGATTCTAAGCCTTATTGTGATAGCTCAGTGAGCAGTGGCTTTCTGAGAAGGCTCCTGGAAATGGGAAACATAGTTCAGTGACAGTCCTATCAACTGCAACCTCTGTGCAGTCAGTCTAGATCCTTCCAACTTAAAAATGGCCATGATTTCCTCTGGCCTTCTCCACCGCATCCTTGTCCTATCATCTCCTGAGTGTCCTGGATTATCCCACTTGCCAGACTTTTTCGTCGACATTTATCTATTTTAGCATTGATTGCTGAATGAAAGACTCTGGTATCCTGGGAGATTGATCAGCCCTAGGTTATTCCGCACAGAATGAATGTCAGCTGATTGTTCTTGTTTTTTATTTTTTCTAAATTATTTTTTATTTTTCTAATTTTCTTTTACTGACTCCAATAGTTATAACCATCCTTATTTTATATAGGCTACATTTAAATTTTTATAATTTATTCTAATAAACTAATTCAAATATTCCATTTATTTCAGGAAAATAAGAAATTCCACCCCAACATAATGTAAAAATACAATGAAAATTAGAAAATTTTTAAACTAAAAAAAAAAGAAAAAAAGGAGAGAAAAACAATCTTAATGGAATCTTAAGGCAATAAAAACTTATTAATCTAAATATAATAAGTTCAAGAAAGTATGTGTATGTTAAAATCTCAAAATTTATTTATATTAGTACCAGAAAGATAATTTTTTTATTTTTGATTTTAATTTATAAATGATTTCCTTAATTCAGTGTTGTGATTTTAAATACTTAATGCAGGGATCCCCAACTCTGTACCCTACCTTAAATAACCATAATCTGTGCTAGGAATCACCATGGTGGACAGTAATTATGTCAGGAGAATGTTGTTGTTTTCATGAAATGTTTAATATATTTTTTTTAAATATAATAAAAGTAGTTAAATGGAAATATAATCATCTATGTAAAAAAAAAATCATTTATTGATATCATTGCATTTTAACAATATTTCAAACAAATTGGATCAATTTTCATCATGTTTCTTTACTTCTGGGGAATTGGGATGAAATTGTAAGGAATTTCATTCGAAATTTCTTTAATGAGTTAGCCGACGTTTCAACCCAAACATGTGGGTCATCATCAGGGCTGTCCTTTGGAAGTCGAGACAGGAACTGTTCCTATTCGGGATTCTTTTTGTTTTTTTAGTGTGTTAGTAACATTACGTTTAATTATTATTAACTATGCATATCTATCTTATTTTACTGTTTCACAAAAGTTTTTAAATTTAATCTCAAAATATATGAATGATTCAGTACAATAACTGATGCATTTAAATTTCTTTCCTTTATAAATTTATATTCTGTGTTGTTCATTTACATGTATTATTAAATAACTATATATTTTATATTAGAATGTAAACAATACTTCCTTATAACTTAAAATTATTATTTTTGCTATTATTAATTATAATAAACAACAACATATACTAAGGAAAAAAACTAATAGGTTAATAACCTATAAATATAGGATATTGAAACACAATACTCTTGTTTGTTTCTTGGTATTTAATTTCTGGAATAATTTGATGGACAAGTTATACAGTTTACCAATCTGTTCTAGCCAAAGTGAGAAGGTCGAAATACATTCCCACTGATGCCACATCCTTTAAAAAATAATAATATAACCAATGAAGGTTTGAGATGCAATCACTGCTGATAGAAGACAATCTTTTATAATAAATAATAAGTTAAATTTTAATATTACATTTATATATGATAAACCAAATATTAATTCAAGAAGATAGTCCAGGAGTCATAGTATGATGTTTTTTCTGACCGACTTCTAAACCAACTGCTCCTTAAATGTTATGTTTGAAAATGTTCCTAAGTTGTTGAAGAAGTTTGATTTGAGTTGTTTTAATTTTGAATCTATAAGATTTAATTGTTTTTATCAATTGAATTGAAATATTCTTCTCTTTTATGTTGAGATTGAAAGTTTTCAAAAAACATATATTTACAATGTGAATAAATTAAAACATCATGTTTCAGTTTTGTAATGCACTGGATAGCTCATATTGAAAGTGGTCCCAGGCGTGTAAACCATGCTGCCGCTGCTGTTGGTGAAAGGATATATACCTTTGGAGGTTATAGTTCTATGGAAGCTAATGCTTATAGAAGCAAATTGCCGATAGATGTTCATGTGTTGAATACTGGTATTATTATCTTGTTTTATACCTATTTTTACAATTCAATTTTGCTCTACGGTTTATTTTTCATTTTAAAAAGATATATTCGGATTGAATAGAAGAGGTTATTTTATTGGCAATGTTTTAATGAAATATTTTTTTAAATCATTATTTGTTTTATTGCATTATTTCATAGATAGAAAATTTTTTTTAAAGTTTTGTGACCAAGAAAACATAAATTTAGTATTTTCTAATCGTTAAATATTTTAGTTATTTACAAATAAGATCTTATCAGTATTTGTACATCATTGTAAATTTATAGTTGTTTTTATCTATTCTGTTTCATTGCCAATCAGAACATCACCTCTTAAGTATCCATGATCCACAAATGTTATTGAGTAACAATTGTCGATTATTAAAATAAATATAATGTTTTATTTTACAGAAAAAATATACTTAGATTGGCTAGAAATTGATAAACCTAAAAGAAGCAGTCCTCAATACAGTGTAACTCCATTTCAACGCTATGGCCACACCGCAGTTGCTTATGGTAAAAAAATTTATGTATGGGGTGGGCGAAATGATCAAATAGCCTGCAATAGGCTCTTCTGTTTTGATACAGGTTATTTATTTCTCTTATAAATATATATTTTTTTAAATAGTTTTAGATATGTTATAGACCATATGTGGGGAAGCTTGTTATCATTAGAGGCCACAGTAAATAAAATGGACAGATAATACAGTAAGTGATAATGGAGGCTATAATAATTTTTTTTATATTTTCCTGTTACTGTTTTTGTTTATATGTAAATACACGCCCATATACATAAATTCATTTTAATTCTAGCCAATTATTTTTTCGTAAGAAATTAATAAGTAATGTATTGTCCAATATATGTTTAACTATTTAACGACTACTGCGGGCATATACATCTGCTCACTGATTTACTGAAGAGACCATATTGAGATCCACAAAGAAGCTTATTCTCGGAATCGATGCGCAGTTAAAACATGAAATTACCTGTGAAGAATAACAACTATGATTCTTGTGAAAATAATTATCGCTTTGGATTTCGCTGATCTTTTTTACTATCATCATAAAGATATCTGGAATTTAATTTGATGTTGTTTATCCTATTTTTTACATGATCTATTCCTATCGGTTATGAATTCGAAAAAGGGATAGTATGGCCATACTGTACAATACAGTATACCTGCAAAGGTGAAAACACATTTTGATGATTATAAATGTTAATCAGCAGAGGTTGTTACTTAAACTTTTTTTTTGCAAGAATATGACTCAATATTATTTAAATTTCCAAAAATAATCAAAATATGATTATATACAAATAAGAAATAACTACCAAGGGTAAATATAGGGAAATAGAATATAATTTTTTTTTTTTTTTTTGTTAAATAACACATGCTGCCGCATTGTAGGGCATTAATATTAGGGCTACATTAAACATTCACGCAATATATACATACAAATGATAACATAGGAAAAAAAAAAACAAAGACAAGAGGAAAGAAAAAAATAAATAGAGAAAAGCTAAATGAAATTAAAATATATAAAACACATTCATACCTGAGAAAATAAATTAATATCCTCTAATATCCCTTTGAACAATGGCAGGCCTATACGCAGCTCTGTTGTTTTTTTTTTAATTGTTGCGATTAAATTATTTTCAAAAACTAAAAAAATACATGATAATTTTTTAACAGTAAATTGCAACTTTTGAGAGAGAAAAAACAATTTGATCCATAAAGATTCACCAACCAAGATGGCTTGGTCGTTAAAGTGTTAAATTATGGTATATGAGTTCAATTTAAAACTATAAATTTTCCTTGTATTATTTTTCGATATTAGTGTTGCTTTTATTTAGAACTGTTAAGGTGACTTGATTATTATATATGTTATGTTTTCAGATACATTTTTATGGTCTAGCCCGTCAACAACCGGTATAGTGCCTTATTCAAGAGATGGACATTCAGCGTGCATCATTGGAACTTGCATGTACATTTTTGGCGGATATGAAGAAGAATTCGAAAGGTTTTCTCAAGAAGTTTATGCTTTAGATTTAGAGACAATGCACTGGACATATGTAGTTACTAAGGTATATCATTTTAGTGTTAATTTTGAGATGTATTGACCTTTTTCCTTCTTTTATTTGTTTTATTTTTTTTTTTTAGTTTTTGTCAGCGCCTAAGCATCTCTTGAATGTACATTTTACAATTATATATAAATATAACAACCAGGTGTGTAAATATGAAACTGGTATCCTCCATAGTTGTTAATGTTCATTTGGTATTCATCTATAGTTATTAATGAAGTTATTCAGAATGCTGACCGACCTGGAAATGGGAAAAGTCAGGGAATTTTTTTTTACGTAAATATTTTTTTCAAATTGGAAATAAATATACAGTGATATTGTTTATAATGATCTTAAAGGGGTAAACTTTTTCGTTATAAACGATCACAGTTGCTGCATTCATCCATGTTTTGACTGTCAATAAAGGCACTGGTCATTGTATTGAAATCAAGCAACGGTAATGAATAAAATTTAAGCAAAATGGAATTAAAACAGTGTTTTTTTTTTTAAAGAAAAACATACCAATATTATTTACTATTTGTAATATATACTGCTGGAACTAAATCTGGCTAGCACTCATTCGTTCGACTTGTGGTGCTTCATAAAAGAGAATTAATTAACTAGAAATGTGACAGTTGGTATCATATAGATAATTATAATGCTGTTTATAGTAATAAAAAAACTAAATTACTTCTGAGAAACTACATTAATATTAGAATCCCCCGTAGCTCACTTTATTTTATTATAGGGAAAATCAGAGCTTTATTTGTCAAGTATCAACTTTTACCTCCTCTCAGTTCATAAAAACAAAATTTTAGTTTTCTTAATAAAAGTTTAGTTTTCAAAAATAAAAAATCCTAATCAATTTTAAAGAAATGCTTCCTCTAAAAAATTATATTTGTTATTTAAAAGACTGATTTTTTTTTTACTCAAATCATTTTGTAGTCAATTTTCTTTCATGTATAATAAATAAATTATATATTTTTAATATTTGTATCCCCAGATATATTGGTCATGGAAAACTATCATTAAATAGGGAAATGTCAGGGAATTTTACTTCAACTGTCTGGTAGCCATCCTGTTATTGTTAAACTGCATTACTGGTGCCATTTTGTTTTTTCAACAACTGGCAACATCTCACTACAATACAAGTTTCAAGTAGTAGCAATGTTTGAATATTGTTGAACATATCAAATTTTGTTCCTGCAAACTGTGATTTAAGGAGAGCATTAATTTTCTGTTACCATTCAAAGAATTACATCAAATGCTTGTCCAAGCTTATAATGAACACACTCTTGGTCAGTCACAGTGCTCTGAGTGGTTTAAAAAATTGGAGCTGAGGTAGCCGTGCGGGCTAAGGAGCTTGCAATAGATAACCAAGTTAAGCAAAACCGAGCGTAGTTAGCACTTGGATTGGTGACCGTCCACCAGAGAAAGCCATGCTGCCCGAGACCTCCCTCCCGGGTTCGTGAGAGGCCGTCAGTCTACTGGAGGCAACTCACACCGACCAGGCGTAGTACTGATGACCCTACCCCTGTTTACTTAAATCAGGTGTGTGTGTTATGGGAGTTGTTTCAGAGCCTCTCCTGGCTAATTCGTCCGCCATCTCGTTGCCAGTAATACCAGAGTGACCTTGTACCTATTCAATGGTTACCTTATTGATCCTAGGTAAATTGTTAAGGATTGTGCAGCAATCCCTAATAGCCAGGCTTAGATCTAGTTGTATGATTGCTCAGAGATCGTGTTGGCACCTGACTGTTAGTAAAGATGGAAATCTTCCGTCTCACCAATCCATTAGGCAATCGGGGAGACTTGTCATACAGAAGTCAGTGAATTTTATTATGTGATTACATGATTACAATCATAATTAAGTTTCCGATTACGATTGAAATCAGATAACCGTGTCACATTTTTGCTATATGTTGTAACATCTCTCTTATATTTGACAAATAATAATAATATGACCTCGGAAGCTCACTTCTTACCATTGGGATACTTCCTAAATAAATAAGAGGTTGTTTGATAATAAAAAAAATTATAAGAGAATTAATATATTTATTTATTTCAGGTGTAGGTTACTGACAATAAGATAAACTCTCAGACAAACTAAAATTAACTATACTAAACACTGTTTGATTTTAAAATAAAGTCAAATATGGATTGGCAAGCTAACACTGTTTCTTCCTTTGTAGCACTAAATTCATTTGTCTTCTAACATTTTCCTATGTTTTTTAAATACATCTTCCAGGATGGTGACACTTTCTTCTATTCAACTCAAGCTCCATGGGAGATACTCTCTCTTGTACTTCCAAACAATTAGTCTCTCTGCCAAACAACACCTTTCAAGATGGTAACACTATCACTAATTTTCCCACTGGAGCCAGGATAGGAAATCTTCTCCTATCCTCTCTTCACTGCAGCCACACAACAACTCCTTGCCAAAACAAAAACCTTTGTCCTTCTCCTCTTTGGGATTTTCCTTCTTGGGAAACAACAGAAAAGCCATTTTCTTTTCTCTGCACTAGTAGAACTAGATTAGCTTGCCTTTTAATCGTTACTTCCATTAACTCACTTCCAATAAAGTGCATTACAATGTATAGTCCTGTTGAATCAAGTATAAAATTGGCATGGTCGTTATTTTTATTTTCATGGATGATAAATATTCAGGATGCTATCATTTCAAAATTTTTATTGTTTTATAATAAAATTTTTAAATGACTGCGTCCTGACTTATTATGATTTATGAGGAGTTGAACGGGGGTGCGGTCAAATAATCTTATTTCACCGCACCCCCTGATCAACTTCTCAGATTATAATAACGGTTTAAACATTTTTGTTTGGTAAGTAAACATCACTCTGACACTCTAATCCGAGAATATCAGGACCGAAAATATAAGGTTGGGATAGACAGCAGCAGAAGTCATAAACCAAATAGTGGAATAAATTGCTATACAGATGGCTCTCTAACAGCCTTCGGCTCTGGAGCAGGCATCTATCGCAAAGATATAAAAGAAAAAATTTCTATACCACTTGGCAGGTATGCTTCAGTGTTTCAATCTGAGATACTGGCAATCTGCCACTGTGTACAAAATCTACTGCAAACCAATGTGACTGAGAAAAAGATTACCATCTATACTGACAGTCAGGCAGCAATAGGTGCTCTCGACAACTATTATGTTTATTCAAAGGTCGTTAAGGAATGCAATAGAGCACTTAACGAGCTAACTGAGCACAACAGAGTTGCAGTGGAGTGGGTGCCAGGTCACTATGGCATACCAGGCAACGAGGTGGCTGATGAGCAAGCCAGATTGGGCTCAGATACCATTCCTATAACTCCCGAGCCTGTCTGTGGAATCAGCCTCAGCACTGCCAAGGGCAGGATCAGGGAGATCTATGGGAACAAATTTAATAATTACTGGACCGACAAGAAACAGAGACATTCGAAGCTGTTCCTTGAAGGTCCATGTAAAAAAAGAAGTAAACAGCTACTGAACATGGACAGAGCAGCCCTTAAAAAACTTACAGCGATCTATACAGGTCACTGTAAGTTAAATAATGATATGTTCAATCTCCGAGTAATGACGAATACGTTATGCAGATTCTGTCTGGAGGAGAATGAAACAGCTTTTCACATCATATGCAGATGTGATAGATTTATAAGGCTGAGGCTGGTGGTATTTAGGGAGGAACAGATGGATCTCCCCAGAAGATATGAGTCGGTCAATCCAACCAGCCTACTTAGATACGCGGAAGCGACAGGATTAACGTTTTAAACAAAACGACTTTCTGAAATTGGCGCACAATGGACCCAGTAGGGGTCGACGTGCTTAAGGCCAACAAATATAAAAAAAAAAAAAAAAAAAGTAAACATATATTTTCTATAAAGAAATTCCAGTTTCATATTTATAAGCCTGGTAAGTATTATAATTATTGATTTTTTCAGGTTACTACCTATTTTGTTGATTTTTTTTTCTCAGGGAGAAAGCCCACCTTACACAGATTTTCATACTGGCACAGCCATAGGCAATAGAATGTATGTATTCGGTGGACGATCAGATAGAGCAGCTCCTGATACCTCTGAGCATGACTATTACCCAAATGAAATCATGTATTTAGACACCGATACTTGCATGTGGGTATCGCCTGTAGTTAGCGGAAACGTACCTTTAGGAAGGAGGAGCCATTCTGCTTGTGAGTTTTGTTTCTCTGTTTTATACCCTTGAGGTGGTATGCTTAGTCGTTCCTCTAAATCTATTTGAATGTTCCTTTATAAAGAAATACTTAAAATTTTATAAAACTGAAGGAAAAAGGACTACTTTTAGTCAATTTGATTGCAGAGATGTTTCTAAGAAACAATAAGGGGTACTTGTGACTTAGCCGGTCGCCACGGACTGCTATCTGCCAATGATAATTCTGATACTGATAATATCTATCTTCATATTCATATTTATGGAAATTGAAATAGACAAAACAATTTTATTTTACATTTCATTTATTTTGGGAGAGAAAATATAATTTAAATAACACTTTATATATGCAACATATATATGTACATATTTTATACATAAAACACTTTTATTTTACATGTTATTTATTTTGGGATACAAAATAGCTTAATGCAATTTAAAGTTGTGAGGAACTGCTCTCTGAGGAGCCGCCACAAAAATCACATAAATAGTAATTCAGGTTTGCCTCGCAGTTCCTCGATGTTTTTTTATTCCTCCACTTAGCTGAGCCCCATTATCGTTCTATGTGTTGAGTATGGACCCCACTTGTAGTTATAACATAGTTATACCGGTGATTCACCCAGAAATGGTTGTAGGTTGCTTCATTTATTTGTTGGGTGTTTCATCCTTTCCAACAATCTGAATATATAGTGGTTCTCTCTTCTATATTATTTTTAATACATTCTAATAGAGTTGTTGCTTTTCTGTCTTTTATTTTTACCATAAAACACTCCTCTGTTTCCCCATTTCAAGACCTTCATATAATTTCCCCTTAGCAATAAACTTCTGAAAGTATTAGATAGCTTCTTCTTTCAAAGGCGGCAATTCCCAATGTTTTATTATGTCCATTTTAAACATAAAATAACAAAATTAGCTACAAAAAAAAAATTGAAAACAACTGAATAACTCAGAAGTAACGGAAAGATAACAAGGGAGGTTCCATGGTTAAGTCTCAAGTAAACCATAATGTTATTGTAAATTCAAACAGTCCTGTTATCTCTTTTACTTATTTGATGCTCAATCTATACTTCAACACATTTTCTCACTAGTGTTTAAATGGAGAAGAAACATCAAATTGGCCCTTGGGTTCTAGCCCTGAAGAAGACCTGCAAAGTCGGGTCGAAACGTTGGCTTTTAATAAAAATAGTTTTACCAATATTTAGCCTATTTATGAACGCCACCCCGGACCATCTCCTTCCTTTATAATGCAACAGTCAACTATTAAATATTCAATATGACTCAAAGTGTTATTTATGTTATATTTTCTCTCTCAAAATAAATGAAATGTAAAGTAAAATTGTTTTGTTATTATTGTTTTGTCTATTTCCATATCCATAAATATAAATATGAACATAGGTATTATCAGTATCAGAATTATCATTGTTCAGGTTATAAACATTGGCAGATAGCAGTCCGTGGCGACCGGCTAAATCACAATTCATACCTATTATTCTATGAAACATCTCTGCAATCAAATTGAACGAAAGTAGTCCTTTTTCATTAAATTTCATAACAAGTATTTCTTTTTGACAGAACTCTCAATTGAAATTAGAGGAACAACTATGTCTACCATCCTTAATGTCTAATCCTTTAAAATTTATGTCTCAACCTTGTTACATTTAAATTTTTTTTTCTAGTCACATCCTTCAGGTTTGGTACCATTTTCTCATAATTTTTTATTTATCTATTTTAGGCCAAACTTCACCAAATATACACAGTTTTTTTATTTCCTGTATTCTTTATTCAACGTTTCGCCTTCAGGAGCCATTTTCAAGATCCTGCAAAACTAATTTTAATTTAGTTTTTACCATTCAAATACATCCTTATCAGACACATATTATTTAACAACCATAAGTAATACAATCAATCCAAAATTTATTTTTAATTTTAAATAAGCCGAAGCAGAAACGTTGAATAAAGATTACAGGAGATAAAAAAAACTGTATATTTGGTGGCCTTTGCCCTAAAATAGATATATAAAAAAATATTAAATATTTTAAACTTTGTTTTTAGTTGTAAATAACAAGTTATAATTTGGAAAATTCCTATCACAGCCATAATGTATCCAAATTGTAAGCAATGAATAAAAAACCCATCAACGCTTCACCAATTCAGGCATCATCAGGACAGAAGGAAAAATCAAATCAAAGATCACTCCATGACACTCAATCGGATACTCTAGGAGTGATTTTCGATTTGATTTTCTGTGTGATTGAAATTTTCCCAATTATAACCTAACATTTATGTTGTGTTGCTTGGAGAATTTTTGAAGTAAAAACTTCTTTAGGCGCATTTTGCACTTTTTTTTGTGTTGATTGAATTAGATTGAGCTGTCAGATCTCTGATGTGTAACACTCGGGTAAAGTTGGCTGGAGTCGACTAATTAATCATATGGACTAAACTATCTCAAAAACTAAAAATCGAACCTCCATATTGTTAGGGATAGAAATGTTCATCATTTCATCCTCTTTGTAATGAGCTGTTACTCAAAATTTTATCTTAAGCCGACTCCTTGTTAGAGAACAGAAAAGGGGAAAAATAGTGTCGAAAAATAAATTATAACTAGTTTTATTGAAGGTATGGATTAACATATATCAGAAACTAAAAATCGTACCTGCATACTGTAAGTGAGGAAAATGAGAGGAAACATTTCATCCTTTTTATAATGACCTATTATTTATAATTTATATTTCATATTATTAATCTCACCTTGTTAATATTTTCACTTTCTATTGTGTGGTCCAAAGTACACACCTTATAGTCCATGGTACAGATCCTTTTTTATCAAATTATTAACATCCGGCTGAAAATTCGTACATAGCTTCATCTCATCGTAATCTATAAATATTTTATTTATGAAAATTCTTGGAATTGGTGCATTTTCAATCTGAAGGTCGGCAAACTTTGTCTATTTAATTAGGTACTAAAAACTCGTAAATTGAATGGTAAGATAACTTGAGCACAAAGTCGAGAAAAAACAAGGCTAATTCTGGGGCTATTTGACTTATTTAACCTCGTTATTTTGACAATTTAGGGGTGTATGTCACAGCAAACAGCTCAAAATTTTTGAAGGCCACCTTTTTTCTCGACTTTTTGCTCAAGTTATCTTAGGATTCAAGTGGAAAGCAAAGGGATATTTAAAAGTTTTTAGTATCTAATTAAATATACAAAGTTTGCCGACCTCCAGATTGAAAATCTCCCAATTACGAGAATTTTCTTAAATAAAATATTTGTAGGTTACGATAAGATAAAGCTATTTACGAAGTTTTAGCCGGATGTTAATAATTTGATAAAAAGGGGTCTGTACCACAGACTATTAGTTTTTTTACTGATTTACATTGTTTTAAATAATTGCACAAAAAAAAAAATTCAGATCCCTACTTAAGAATTTTAGTATTAGTATGCTTGGAATTCATACTTTAATTATTAATTTAAACAAAGAATATATGTGAAATCCCGATTCTCAAATACTTCATGTACTAATGTTACCACACGCATTCTCATAGAGCTTGGTAGTCTGAAAGACTGAATAACTTTATATAAAGCAAATGTCCAAAAGATCATTATTGTTGATACTTAATTTTTCAAATATTAAAAAAGTAATGTTCATGTTTATGTAAACTGATAAGACATTAATTGACTGTGACGAAGATTTATCTCTTTTTGGTGGATCGCAGACCTGAACAAATTTAGTTCATGTATGTGTAACATATATTGCATATAAGGTAAATAGCTATCCATGTATCATGCCATGCCTGAATAGTGGGAGACAGATTTGATATTGTGTTGCGGAGAAGGGACAAAGTTATTAATCTCAGATTTATGAGAAGTCATGTATTGTCAATTATTCTAAGCCTTGAAAACATTCATCTTTTTATGGCATGGAATGAAATAATAAGAAGTGGTGAGAAACTTTCATGAAGTTTTTATAATGCACTAGTGTTCACCTAGTGATCAAAATTCGACCATAATTGTTATTGAAACATTTGAGGAAAATATGGATGAATTTGGAGATTTCCATTTTTTTTTTTTTCTACTCTTATATATTCCTATCATTGCTTACATGTGTAATTAAAATAGAAAACAGTACAGTATTATTTTTGTACTTTTTGAGTTATTGGCAAATAAAAATGTGAATCCATCCTAATTTTTTCGAAAAAATACTTGAACCCACTTTGATAATTCGGTCAGTACAAATTGTTTCATTTCAACATTCTACTCATAACTATAGTTATATTCCAAATATAAATTTATCATAATAGAGCTGTCTTAAAATATAAAATTAGAAAAATGTAATGTCTTTTCGATTTCGATCATTTTTTTTTTTTCATTTTGTTGGGAATTCAGGAAGCTTTCAAATACTCATAGGTTTAATGAACCAAAAATTCTGTACTTTTTAAATTATTCGCAAATTAAATTTTGAATCCATCTTTACTTTTTCATGGAAGGATGATGTATACATAAATTAAAAAAGCTTCAAAGAAGACTTTAGCCAAGTCTCATTAAAATTGTTATTGTAGTTTTGATGCTATAGTCAATAGTGACTCACATTTTTTGGTCACCATTTGAAACAATAGGCCGGATGGTAATGCATTAATGTGTCAAAATTTCAAAGCAATTGGTGAGAAACTTTTGAAGATTAACAGTTTTGAACAATCGTTAACACTTTAATTTTTATACTCGCGTTTCCAATTCTTTTTTATTGACAACACTAATGCCCGTTGATATCTACTAATCAATAAAAGAAAATCAGCTGGAAAACAGAAGAGAAAAAGGAACTAAACTATTTTGCCTTTGTCTATTTTTTATAATCTAATGGTGTTATTATATTTCAATATATATATATATATTTTTTTTTTAGTTCTCTACAACAATGAATTATACATTTTCGGTGGTTACAATGCTCTTGTAAATCAACATTTCAATGACTTGTATAAATTTAATCCTTTCAATTGCACTTGGTCGATTGTTCAAACTGTCGGAATTTGTCCAAAAGAAAGGAGGAGACAAGTTTGCATAGTAGTGCAAAATAAGATGTATCTATTCGGTGGAACGAGGTAATTGCTCATTTTCTAAATAGTTTATTAAAATTATTGTTATTGAATTAACTCACTTTCTACTATATTATTATTAACTGTGGTGGCGTGATAATATCTGTTTATTATAAAAATTCGTAGTATTATAGGGGTGGTTATACTACTGTCACATTTGGATGACATGTGCGCAAAGATCACATGTTCACACTGTTCCTAGAATGCCAAAGCTGGCCGAGTAGGTCTGTATTTTAGGTTACATTTCCAATACAAATAAAACAAATTTGACAAAAGAAATTGGCTTGCAGTTATAAATATAGTTTAATTTAAGAGTTTAATTGATATAACAACCAAGTATAAAAAACTTATGAATACACATAAAAAATATATTTTAAGCACGTTTTAAATCTTTTAGCTTTTTAATACACCCAACGCTAAATATTGAAGTATTTATGAAAGTATGTACAAAATATTCTTTAATAATATGCTAGCGAAACAAAAATTGATTAATGAATAAAAGTAAACTGCATGGAATTTATAATTTTTTTTATTTCTGTAGTCTCGGATCATTTTTATTTATTCATTAAAAAGTTGGTCTCTATTGTTTAATTTTTCATTTGGAAATCGAGGTCATTTCATTATTCAGCATATAATATAACCTAGGCTCTAGGGACAATTCATTTCATTCAATAGGAAGATTTGAAGGTCGTCTCTTAACATTTTTAAACACACTCTGCAAGTTTTTGCATTCTCCGAACTGTATTGATGTTGGCGCACTTTTCAACCAGAGGTGGTATGGTTATTGTATTTACGAAAGATTTATTGAAAATATATCAGCTGTTTTCTTAGTATACTAATTATGATAATTTTAATAAAAGATCTTTATACAGTCCTATTCGAGACCCAGTCTATGATGATGGAAGCGATTCTCCTGACGATCATGAGTTGATGGATCATGATGATCTCCATGTTCTTGATCTAGGTAAATTGCACTATTTACTTACTATCAATCTTATATACTTAAATTTAGCATCATATCATATAAATTATATTATTCACTATATATTACTATACTGTTATATAGTCAAATTGTAAAATATTATAAACTAAGTTAACAAATTTTTAAGTTCTTTTATGATTAATGAGAAGTATGCTGTAAGTATAGTTAATTATATATAAGTACTAGCTGATGTACCCATCGTTGGCGGGTGTACAGTTAGAATTTAAGAATGTTTTTTTGAGATGGATTTTGTATTATGAGGGGAGGAGGGTCCAAATTAAATTTCATAAAATTGGGACGGGAGGGGAGAGGAGGGTTGTTTTGAAATTTTTAATGGCGGAGCTAATGGAAGTCAAGGTTTCACAAAACCTTTGTCATTCACCTATTTTTTCAGGTGCCACACAACTCAACTGACCACCACTGATCCATTAAAATTTGTTAAGTGTTTAATTGTCATTTATGATGAAGCGAGGAAATTGCGGAGTTGATTAATTAATGAAAAAGAGCTGTAGTCTCTCCACATCTTTAAACTGTGCTGAGTTTATCGCTGGCAAAATAACCAAAATAACATTGGACATTGAGTCACCTACATCCGTGTAAGATTAGAACTTGATCTGAATATTGTGGCGGGCGGGGTGTAATTTTTGGAGTTTTTTTTCCTGATTTTTGGCTAATCCATTTGGTTAATCCTAAAAATGTATGCGATAACATTTGTTAGGCTCGGGAAGTTGAATTTAATGACACCTTTCAAAAGCCTATATTTTAAGTCAAGCAAACCTAAATGTAATGTCAAAATTTCAAAAGTCTACCATTAGCCATTACCGAGCTTACCCCTGACAAAATTTCGTTGGACAATACGGACATCCAGATAAACAAAATTTTTTTAAAAGTGGATCTGGTGTATGTAATGTATGAAATGGAAAGATATCATGAAACGGATTGATTCTATTCAATGTACAGATAGAACCTTTATTTTATTTATATAGATGTTCTTTAACCTATAAACATATGTAATAACAACATTAATCGAGATCTCTAGACAAATTACTCAAGAATTCATAAATTTGGTTCTACTCAATATTTTGTTTTCATTTAAAGCCTATGTTTTAAGTCAAGCAAATCTTAATATAATGTTAAAATTTCAAAAGTCTACAATAAGCCATTGCTGAGCTTACCTCTGACAAAATTTCGTTGCAATGCGGACATACAGACAGACAAAAAAAATTTAAAGTGGATCTGGTGTATGTAATGTATGAAATGGAAAGATAGCATGAAACGGGTTGATTCTATTCAATGTACAGATAGAACCTTTATTTTATTTATATAGATGTTCTTTAACCTATAAACATATGTTATAACAACATTAATCGAGATCTCTGGACAAATTACTCAAGAATTCATAACTTTGGTTCTACTCAATATTTTGTTTTCATTTAAAGCCTATGTTTTAAGTCAAGCAAACCTTAATATAATGTTAAAATTTCAAAAGTCTACAATAAGCCATTGCTGAGCTTACCTCTGACAAAATTTCGTTGCAATGCAGACATACAGACAGGCAAAATTTTTTAAAAAGTGGATTTGGTGTCTGCAATGTTTGAAACGGAAAGATATCATAAAACGGGTTGATTCTATTCAATGTTCAGACAAAATCTTTATTTTATTTATATAGATATTAAATTATATTTAATACTGAATTTAATATTAAATTCACTATTAAACCGTGAGTTTATATTAATTTTATAGATCCAACATTGAAAACTCTCTGCATGCTGTGTGTGATAAATAATCATATAAGTCACAGCTGCTTGCCAAAGGACCTTATGTAAGTAAAATATTATAGAATAATTTATGTTTATTTTTAATTATGTAATAAATCAAGTCAGTGATGGTTGTTGTTTTTGCATTTAGAAAATAAAGCACACTCACAATATCTCTTTCGCTTAATCCATCCTCGTCTACCGCTAAGCAGTGTGAGGTTTCCGTCTGTCGAGCTTGATCCACACTTCTCTTTCCTGTATCAATTTCTTTCCCAGGTTACAGTGGCTTAATAATACAGTGGAGTCATATAGAGTCGCTTTTTGATTGGTTGGCCATTTTGGATCGTCCCTTGCCATCTGCTTGCTCTATAGGCACCTCAAAACTGTTAAATTTTCATATTTTATTAGCAGTATTTTAGTTTAGAAGCTTAATTTTGTTGTTTAAGTGATAGGTTTAGTGTATTAATAGGTAGGTTTTATTGAATAGTTATATGTTTTAATGTTTAAAATGATAGTTGTGGTTTCATGTTCAGTGATAGGTTTCATCTTCACAGACTCTTATTACTTTCCTACCTATACTAGGTAAGGAAAGTATCGCAAAGTATTGCAATCGGGTCAAATTTCCGACTTGCGGTTTTCGACGGATCTATACGTTTCACAGCCCCCTGAGTCCGAAAAACACATTTTTAGCCATTGATCTGTCTGTCTCTCTGTGCCAAGATTTTCTCGGGAACTACTGAACCGATTTTGTTGCTTCTTTTTTTATTTTGTAGGGTTTTGACTACTGATGGTTGTAACAGAAATTCATTGCTCCATGCACAATAGCTTGCGCGCAATAAATGAAAAACACGTTTTTCTATAGACTGTAGTGCAAAAACGGCTCTAACGATTTTGATGAAACTTTTCTATGATGTTCTAATCATTGTCCTTTCAATTTTCGTATATAGACTAAATTCCCGAAAAAATTCAGGAAAAAAAGTTATAAAGAAAAGAAAAATGTTATAGGGCCTAACTCCCTAAGTATATATTATACAGTAAAATTTATAATAAAACTTTTGAAAGGTAATTAAATTACCAACAAAACAAAAAAAAAATCATCGGAATCGAACCAGTATTAGCGATGATACAGCTTATTCTATTTTTTACACATTTTTTAAACTTATTTTATTACTTTCCTACCTATACGAGGTAAGGAAAGTATTGCAATCGGGTCAAATTTCCAACATGCAGTTTTCGACGGATCTATACGTTTCACAGCCTCCTGAGTCCGAAAAACACATTTTTAGCCATTGGTCTGTCTGTCTCTCTGTGCCAAGATTTTCTCGGGAACTACTGAACCGATTTTGTTGCTTCTTTTTTTATTTTGTAGGATTTTGACTACTGATGGCTGTAACAGAAATTCATTGCTCCATGCGCAATAGCTTGCGCGCAATAAATGAAAAATCTTTTTCTTCCATAACCATTGAATTACAAAGGAAAATCAATAAAATAAAGTAATAAATTAAAGGATTGGGTCATTTTTGAAACCTATATCAGCCAAATCAACCAGTAAGAGGTGATTTAAGAGGATTTTTCATAGAGAAAAATGAGTACTGTTGATACAGAACACATAATTAATTGTTACAATATTAAAAATAGCATTCTTAAGAGGTTTATTGTATTTAGTCTTAGGATAAATTAAATAAGTAAAAGGAATTTCTCTCATTATCTTCTTTTAGCAGTAAATCTGTAAATTTATATGTGCGGCATTTATAAATTTAAATTCCTTTGTAAATAAATAAATATTCTGTGTTTTATCTTTCTTTTTTTTATATTCATTCCTTAATGAATGGTTTCTTTTTCAAGTTAATTTGGATAGTTCTTCAATCAATTGATAACTGATTGTATTTTATCCTTACAGTTTTATGTTTCAGTATTAGTTATTTTTACTTGGTATATCCTGTGTGATAAAATTGAAAATAGACTATAGCCCACAATCTCTAATTTCCCAAAAGAAGTAATGAAAAATAAATAAAACAAGGGAAAGCTTAGATGCTGGAGTAATGGAAAATTCAGTTGTGAAGAACATTATTACAATTTATCATATTATGATTATTAATCCATTTCTTTGATAACAGGAATATTGATATTGATTGATAAATAGAAATTTTCAAATTATACAAAAACTAAGTTATACCACTCCGAAATAAATACTCTCCTACCAACTTTAGCAGGCTTAAAAGTAATGATCAATTTTTTATCTTCTTTAGATGCAATATACAATATCTACATTATGGTAAGAGGTAAACCATTTCATAAAATATATCTTATATCCGTGATCAGAAATGAATCTACTGATCGAGGATCAAATTTTGAACTTTTTAAATTTGTAAGAATAGTGGATTTATAATAGTTAGTGTTGTCCAAAATCAGTCTTGGTCATGCGCTTTGAAAGACCAAGACAGGTAAAAAAAATCCTTTTTGTAAATGAAAATTAAGGTAAAATAGTCACTAAAACTTGAAAAATTTAGTTACCATATGTAAACAATTGGTATAACCAATATCCTTTGGAATTTAACTCTCAATTTTTCATTTGGTCTTAGGTTTCCCATATCTGAAAAATTACAGTAATATCTCTATAACAATAAGCTAATAGGTAACTGGAAGACTGTTGCGAGACTTGTGCAAGATCAAGACTGAGTGTGCAAGACCAATATCCGTCATGGTCTCGTATTTGGACAACACTAGTTTTTTGGTGTTCAGTCACAAGTTAAATAGAAAAAACAAAATATTGTTCTTTGATTTTATTATTTATTTTCACATGATATAAGTGACTCATATACTTCATTCAACTTGCTCAACTTCAATTCTATCTCCCAAACCATTCTAATTAATATTCTCTTACAATAATTACTTTTTAAATTGAAATAACAAAGAGAGACTATTCAAATATTAGTTTCCCACCGATCCAATATGGCCGCCCCATCGTTATGACCGCACTGTATTATTAAGCCACTGTATCCCAGGTCTTCCTTGGTTGCCCTCTAGGTCTTCAATCTCCCACCTGAATCTGATAAGTGAACCTTGCTAATCTAATCTGTCTTGAAGTATCTGAGAGACATGTCCGAATTATCCTAGCTGGTTTTCTTCTATTTTTTCCTTTGCTTCCTGCAGATACCCAGGTTGGATCGGACAGTGGTATTCCTCACTCAGTCTCTCCTCGTCTTACCTTCGATCCTACGGATGTAACGCATCTTCATCGCTTGTAGTTGGCTCTTATGTTTTCTTGTTTGTGTGCAAAACTCGTTTAAGTATTTCAGGATTGTGAAAAATGTATTTTTGAAGACTGTTACCTTTGTTGTTTTTTGTGTTTCTTCCCAAAAAGCCTTTTATAACAGCATTAAAGCATATCCAGCTGCCTTAATTCTCTCTCTTATATCTCCGTCCACCCAGCCATTCTCGTTCAAGTGGGCTCCCAGCTATTTGAAGTCGCTGTACTCAAAATATATAATTTTTATTGTGCAGATTGTTAGATTAGATCTACCTTAAGCCAGTTTACATTGCTTTTTATCAAGTAAATCGTACTCAAATATTTTCTTTGATAAATTTTCAGGAAAATAAATCTAATTCAATTTTTTTTTTGTTTCTTGATGGACATATGTAAAGATATAATTTTTTTTCTGAAATAGGTAGGAAAGTCGTGTGAGTGGACACGCCAGATTTTTTTAATTTGCATTTTATTCTACAAATACTATTGCAACATTTACTAATTTATTTGTATTTATTTTCTTACAGACAAGACTTGAATATATTACAAGCAAATCTTTGGATAATAGACCAGATGACTTTGTAAAGTTTTAATAATCCAATCACTCCAGAGAGCCATCGTCTTTTATAATTATGAAAAAAAAAAGTGTAAATGTTTTACATTGAATGTAAATATGTAAATTATGCAAGTAAATAAGTACGTTGAATACTTATGCTTTTTTTTTTCTCATGATACTAGAGTTATATTTTTAGGTTTGTTTTTAATAAATAACGATAAAATCTGTTGTTTTTTGTTTAATATTTGTAAATGTTTATATAAGATTCTAATGATGAATTATTTATTTATTGAATTTATTTTTTGATAATTGTAAAATTATTTTTTGTTTATGATCTAATATAGTTTATTTATATTCGATAACTGAAATGCTATGTTAATGCTTCTTTTTTCCTCATCTTTTTTTTTTTTGTGCAAACTTGAAACTTTTTCTATAGGAAAATATTTTTAAATCTATTTATATATTTATGTATTTTTTTATTGGTACGCTACTTTTGATAAAATGGTGAGTGATTACTGTATAAAAATTACTGTTATATTTATGGATATTGTACATTTTTCTAAATGAATTACTTATCACCTTTTTTTATATAACTATGAAATTACCTTAATGAAACATAATTAGAAGCACAAGTTTACATCTTCTGCTTTGCAGTTATCCAAACAATACTTCTACAAATTTTTCAACTGGAGAAATGTTTTTTCACTTTTCATTCTATAATAAAAAAAAATGATTGTGATTAATAAAGTATTCTTCCTTTCAAATCATTTTTTCAGTTGTTTACTATGAGCCTCTTCTACTTCATCAAGGTCATTAACCTTCAGAAAAAATTAATATCTTGAATAATATCTTCATTGGATTTCTACATCGTGAATAAAGGGAACCATCATCAGAGGTGCAACTGAAGATGACTGTTCAAGTGGTTTACACTTACTGATCAGCTTGGTAGTATCGAGATTCATTTCTTGTGACCGCCGAGGAATAAATATTAACTGACTCAAGTGGGAATCTAACCCACAGCATTCTGATCTGAGACCCTCTCCCCAGTGTGCTCTGCCCTCACCTCTTATACAATAGAGTACGATCAGGATTATACTTTATATATCCTGTTATTTAAAAGGACAGCCCATTTTTTGTTTTTAACTACTAATCGCAAAAACTTGTGGGCTTATTCATATATATTTTTTTTTCTTCGAAATAGTGTCTGTGTTTCTAAAGATGGTTTTAAGCTATTGAAATCCTTGACATGACCAGTAAAAATAAACAAAACTATTTTCAAGTTCATAAAATTTTGTGAATAGGAATGTTTAATTGTTTCATTGTTGTTAGAATCTCATTTGGCTGTTATTAAAAAGGCCTCAGGAGACAAATTATTGAAAATGCAGCTGAGATAAAAAAACAAAATGAATTGTTAGCTGAAAAGGCTCACCACAATAAGAGATTGGCATGAAACACTACAACACTACAAGCCATGAAGGGGGGAGGGGACTCTTGGGTTCAGTACTATCTTGGGAAGTCCTGTTTCTTGGTCTACAGGTGTGCAAGATGATTTGACGAATAATCATGCTTAACTGCCAGGTTTTCCCATTTCATAAATTAACTAACGAAGAGTACGCACATTGTAGTGGCCATGTGTGCAGGAGAGTCTTCCGACCCCAGGAGCTTTGGATATCAGTGCCCAACCCACTGAACTACCCGACATAAGAGATTATTTTATATGAATTTATATAATACTATTATACAGGGTTAAGTGGCCAAACTGCAAAAATGAACTATGGACCTCAAAACAAGAAAAAGATTTCCTCCGAATGTATGGTCGCAAACGCTTTTAATGTTATATGAAATAAATAAAACCTATTTATTTGTTCTAACTACTTTATTAATTAAATGTAAACATTGACATTCATATTAAATATTGTTCAAAGTGAAGATATGTCCACATTTCTTGCCGCCTCGACTCAATGCGGGCACATTTCGGGAATTTCCTTGATAATGATTACTATAATTTAGTTGAACATATTCCACTACATCTGAGAAGGGACATGCTTCAATTAGAATTAGATGGTTGCCCTGCACATTATGGAAGAGGTCCACTACAATGGCTAAATATTAATTACACCAATCAATGGATTGGCCAAGCCAAACCAGTGGCTTGGTCTACGCGCTCTCCAGACCTGACACCACTGGATTGTGGTAACATTAAAGAAAAAGTCCATGCCAACGTCTGCTCAATGACCTTAATTCCTTATGAAGATAAATAATCGAATCTTGTGAAACTATAACACATCTCCAGTGCAGTTCTGCCACTGCTGTTGTTGAAGGAAGATGCTGAGCCTGTCTTAATGCTCAAGGAAATCACTTTGAACAACATTTAATATGAATGTTAATGTTTACAATTAATTAAAAAAGTAGTTAGAACAAATGAATAGGTTTTATCTATTTCATATTACGTAAATAATTCATAATAATGAAAATCCTTAGGAGTGAATATCTCCTAAACAAAGCATTAGCAGACATACGTTCATAGGATTTTTTGTTTCTTGTTTTGAGATCCTCAATTCATATTTTCAGTTTGGACACTGAAACCTGTATAAATATCAGCCCGTTTTTCATTTTTAACTGCTGAAACTACGAAATTAATCGTACCCAATTTCAACATCTTCATAGTCCACACAGAAGGATTAACTTTCACTAGTTTTTGTGTAACATTAGCTATGTGACCTGACTTTTGTTCTTTACTTCTATTTAAAAATTTGGTAAAGGTGTAAGACAAAGGTATAGATTGCTTTTGAGATGTAGTCTCGCTACGCATTCCGATGATTCAATAATATTGCCATTCGAATTCGCGATAGTCATCAATGGAGCATAGGGATAATCATTATAAATGCTTTACCTAAATTAAGAAAACATATGCCAAATGGAAAGATAAAAAATACATATTATTCATTACATGAAATAAACTGCCTGATTAAGACAAAATTTTAAATAACGTTTTTGGATTGTATTTCTGAAAACGCGTGAGACTAATATTGATTTGAAAAACACAATTTCTAATATTAAAAAATTTTACTTGCAGGTTTTTGGTGTTTAATTGTCGATATATTATCACTTTGAATCGAAGACTACGCGAACGAAGTCGCGGACAACAGCTAGATAATCATACTTACAAAACTCTCTAAACACGATTGCAGATCTTAAGTGTCAGATAGAGGATTTCCATAGCTTAAAATCGTCACGGTATAGTACAAATTATTTTGAGAAAAAAAAATGAACCGTTTAAGTCAATTTGAAGGTTTACAAACATTTAAATCAGAGAAAAAACGCAGGGGTTTGCCGACATTTATCTAACTTTAAATTATTTTTCTGTCTAGAGAAACAATGATAAATACCACAAATTACAAATTCGGCTTATTTGATCCATAGGAGACCACTAGAGGTGCTGAAATGCAGCGGGGAAAAAATCAAGAAAACATAATTAAGATATTATCATGATAAGAACAGAACAATAGCCTAAAATGCATTTTTTGAACTCAAAGATCTCTGTAGCGTAAAGATCTGTTGAAAGTTACTACTTTACAATTTGCACCAAGTTGATAAGTGGAAACAATATCACAATATGAATGGAATTTCAAGAACGACGGATTATTGACAAAGTATTCACGGGTATAACCACTTTTTTTTTTTTTAAATCGTCATTTACGATTTTCACCAACCACAAACATTTCCTTTTCAGTTAAAATCGGGCCTTTAATAACATTGCTGCTTTTGAATTCAACTAGGGCCTAACCAAATGGATCGGTCAACTCCGTCTACTTTCGGACACTTTCAGTCTTTCTCGGGATTCCATTTATTTGCTTGTCCATCAAAGTGGAGCAACACTTGTTCAATTGGATAACGAAAATTGAACCTGATTGCAATACCTTCCCTAGTCAAGCTGACTAATTTAGCGAAAATGGAAGTAAAAATAACTTAATTCCCACCAACACTTGAAATTTATACTTATATCCCTCCCCATCACAATTCTAATTAAAAGACGAACCTTGTCCTTAACTCTATGGAGGACATCGTTCGTTTGAAGGTTTCAACATTGAACGACAAAATTTTGTATCATGGAGTGAATTTCTAGTGATGAATAGACTTCCAGAACTAAAATCTGGAATAAATGAAAAATTAAAAGAAGTTAGTCCTAATCTTGATCTCGCCCAGGTGATTATTAATTAGATCGTATAAACGATTAAAAATAAAATTTACTTTTATATTTAGAGTTAATTTATTGCCCATTTTTAAAAATTATTTATTTATTTTTAAGAAATCTTAATAAATTTTATTAATTAGTGCTATTGTTTACAAATTTATGAATCAATATTTAATATTTAAAATTATTGGAAACCTTTGTTATGGCGCTATTTTATCTTCAGATTTTAAGTATTCAAAGTAATAGTATTTATTTACTTAGTTCTGTTGTTTCGGTTAATTGAAAATATTTGTCTACTAAACTGTTACCACTTTTGATAATCATTTATGATCAGTAAAATATAGTTAGTCTTAAAGATAAATTATTTTGTATATCTTTATTTATAGTTTTGTGTAAAAATTTGTATTCCTAAGAAAGATGTTTATCTTCTGCACCAATTATGCATAGGAACCTTTCATTATTACCTGTAAATTTTTATGAATGTTAACATATTTGATAAGTAAATCCACAGGATTGAAAATCCTGTTAATAGGAATATAAGATGATACTAATTCTTACTAAAATTTGTTACAATATTCATAAAAGAATATAATTTACAAAAAAATAAATTTCCATTATATTTCCTTTTTAAGTGTAAATTTATTTATTAGTTTTAAGGATTAAAAAGTTATTTAATTTTTAGTAGTTATATAATGGTTGTTCTTGTTTTCTTTTTTGAAGGCACCACCAATAAACCAAAAAAGGCTTGTTACATTTATAAATCATTTTCTTATAAACACGGTTGATTTTTTAAATAAATTTTCTAAGCACTGTACTCATAAACTCTTCACTCTTGATCAAAAAATAAACAGGATCGAAGCTGAATTATGTTTGTTGGAATCTAAGGTTTGTTAAGAAAAATATATGTATTTGCCTGTTTAATGAAAAAATATAGAGATTTAAGCTATTTCATTGCAGTTAAATTCCATTCCGGAAGTAGCTGATTCAAAAGATGTCAATGTCGAATTACCTAAGCCTGAAGAATCAGAAGTACCTAAATCTAGTGAAAATAACGAAGAAAATGGACAACCTACAGAGGAGGTATACTAATTATATATATATATATATATATATGCATATATACTTTTGTAATTATATATATTCACTTAGCTTGTATTAATTTGTAATAATTTTAGGTAAAAGAAAAGGTTGAAATCCCTGTTGTTGATGAAGTTGACCCACCTAAGGAGGCAGAGCCAGAAAATCCTGAACTTCTTAAGTATCGTAAAATGATACAAGTGGGTGTTCCTTTACAAGCTGTCAAAATTAAAATGCAAATTGAAGGTCTTGATCCTAATTTGTTGGATACTTGATGTAATGCAGCTGTTATTCATGCTAAGCAATATCTAATTTTGTTTATTCTGATTATTTTAAGCCTATAAAAATAATTTATTTGTAATATCTCTGCATGGATAACTTGTAACAGATGTTGTACATATGATTCTAACCAGACAGCCATAAGCTGGTTTCAGTTCCTTGACTTTTGCAATTTTAAGTGATCTGCCATAAACTATTCTTCAGAAGATGGATTAGTATTGATGAAGCTGTCCAAACAAGCCAGAAATGATTATGTGATATAATACATTATATATTTGCCTTATAATAGAATATTTTTTGTAAATATTTAAGTACGAGCTCAAATTTTCTCTTGGAAAACAGTTCTTGAAAATGTGTTTTATACTAAAATTCTTTCACTGTTTTATATTTGCAAATTAAAATGTTTTTAAAATTTTATTGTTATTTTATTATACTTACTTATCCAAATCTAATCTTCAAATGCAAATAGATAATTTATTTGGACTAATAAAAGTAATACAATTTTTTTTTGTATTTTATTACAAAAATTTGATTCTGTTTCTTTATTTACGTAACTATATCTATTGATAGATAATTTATAGAATAAAAAACGCAACTTCATTCTGGAACAACTTACCTTAACAATAACTGGTGTACAGGTAAGTAAAGATTATTTCCAGGTGTAAGACTTTGTCCGTGGTACAGACCCCTTTTTATCAAATTATTAACATCCTAAAAATTCATAAATAGCTTCATCTAATCGTAGCCTACAAATATTTTATTGAAGAAGATTCTCGGAATTAGGGCGTTTTCAATCTGAAGTTAGGCAAACTTTGTTTATTTAATTAGGTTCTAAAAACTCATGAATGCCCATTTGATTTTCACTTTAATTGGAAGATAATATGATATCAAGGTCGAAAAAAAAGTGGGGCTTACAAAAATATTGGTCCGTTTGGCGTGACGTCACCTCCCAAAATATCAAAATAACGTGGTTATATAGGCCAAACGCTCCAATACTTATGTATGTCACTTTTTTTTCGACTCTTTGATCATGTTATCTTATTTTTCGAAAGGAAAGTAAATGTGTATTCATGAGTTTTTAATACCTAATTAAATCGAATAAGTTTGCCAACCCGCAGATTGAAAACACCCTATTTCTGAGAATTTAAATAAATAAAAAAGGAGATGAAGCTATTTACAAAGTTTCGGGCAGATGTTAATAATTTGTTAAAAAAGGGATCCACAGACTATCATTACTTAATTGAGGATTGGTGGTTGACTTCGGTGAATAATTGAAGAGAAGAATGGTTGGGATGATCAGTCAAAAAAATAATGGACTATTATTACTTTTAATTAATGGATAACTAAATAAAAGTGTATATGTACTTACATAAAAACAAAGATATATTTTTAAAAACATGGAGAATGGTGTAAAAATATATATTTACTACTAAAAAAAAATAATATACAAAAAAGGAAAGATTAATTAATTTTATAAGCAAAATGTCCTAGTTATAAAAAAAGGATAGTAATCTATGTACAAAGACATAGATTGAGAAAAAAACAGTGAGGGTGGGCTAATCTGGTTGAGTAAAAAATGAATTTCAGCTGATAAATAACAAAAAAAGTAACATCAGGAATAAATAAAATAATTTAATTGATAATTCATGATAAAAACAATACTTTTCAGTGATATGAAGTATTTGTCCATATTCATAGAAAATAAATAAATCCTTGTTATATAATAAAGAATCAACCAGCATTTTATTTATTTGTGAACAGGAATTGCAATAGGAGGGTTTCAATTGTGGATAAGGATGGGATTTGGCGGATTTTAAGAGCAAAGAAATTCCAAAAGGTAGAGAAGAATAAGCAGAAATAAAAATATTTTCGAAATGAGAGATCTGTGAAAACGATATATAAAGGTCAGAAGGTAAAGATCTTGGGGTATCAGTTGATAAAAGAGTTAAATTGAAGATAACAGGAATGAGATGGGCAATGGTTATTGATTATTTGGTAAAGGCATATGCCTAGGAAATAATACATCATTTTTACAGAATAAATTACTCATAATTGTTCTCTAGAGAATAGGGACTCTAGTATGTGCCTAATATTTTGTTGTAAATCTTTAGGTTAGGGACAAAATCTTGAAAATGAAGGATTAACGAGTTTCACTGAAAGTAGCTTCAATTAAATCTCTTCTCATTTTGCCAGGTAACATAAGTAAAAATTTAATAGGTTACTTGTGATCCACCAATCATGATTCTGTATAGCTATTTGGTCTATATAGCTATTCAGGGAAGGCCACTTAGATCTTCTGTGCCATATCTAATAGATTCATTAATTAAAAGGATTTAATAATTTTTCAAAAAATTCCATTTTAACAGTTGCGAAGGAACTTTTAGTGATTAAGTTTTGGATTCCTTATAAAAGTATAACCTAGTTTTTTTTTTAAATTATGTTAAATGAGAAATAAACAGTAAACTTGCTTATATTGTAGTTATAGTATCTCCTGAATAAATTGCCCGATTCTTATATATCATTTTATATGAAAAGCCAAGAATGTCATACACAATTACCATTTCTTAAATATAATTTTTGGCAACACTTGGACAGAACTTTTAAATTTAAGTTCTAAAAGAACAGAGCAAGTTAAAAAAAAATCAAGCATGATAGAACTAATTAAAAATAAATATTACTTTTTGTTTCAAGTCCTACTTTGTTCACTTAAAGACTGGTCAGAGTGGATTCCTTACCACTTTTCTTAAGGAGATAGGCTTGAAATTTGGATTTATTCATAGTTTAATAATAATTCATAATTTAATAGTTAATACTATAGTTTGCTATTTCTTAGTTTAACAGCAGAATTTCTCTTCTTTTTTTTTAATTATATAAAATATCTATTAATCCCAAAATCTGGGTGTAATTACTGGTGCAATATACACTCGCTAATATATTTCTTAAGAGTTTCATGTATAATTAACCAATTGGCTGTATAGAAACAAAACTAAATTTGCCGAGTTCATGTATTAATATGATTAACAATAATATTTACATTAGTTAACAATTTCTATTAACAGTACATTTTATTATTTTATCTTATTTTATTGAGGAAAAATGCATTTTGCCTCAATCAAGGGCACTGAGTATTTGAAATGTGAGATATTGATTCATACAATATATACAATTACAAAAATAATTTAAGTTATAACAAAAGGAAGAAAAAGAAAGTTTAGTAAAACAGAAGAAATAAAATATGATACAACACAAATAAAAAACTCATGCTTATTTACAGTCAGCCGAGGAAGCTCCAAGTCGGCCCCTTTCTTCCATGTGTGGAGGATAAAGCAAGACTAAGAGATCACAGTGCTTTTCTCTCAACCGCATCACTGGGATGGGGATAAAGTGGAAACTGAGAAAGGGTACTGAAGCCACATACACTCATGACTTGAGTGACCAATGGCTGGCCATTGGTAGGACTCCTAAGATGTATTTACAAAAGATCTCGAGGCCACTGCCTTTTCTACCTACGAGGATTGTAGGGATGACTGGAACCGGATAAGGATGATGGATTAAGATTTGATGAAAATTTGAGAAACAGGATGGAATAACATCAAGGACATAAGGGATGTTAGTCATGATGACACGCAAAATCGTGAAGGTACCACAGTACATTTACTAATATAAATTAATTAGAAACTTATCAAGGGATATAACATAAATGTTAGGCTATAATTTGGAAAAATCCAAGAGTTACCAGCAGAGTTACCAGAATTTTTGTAGTTGTCCGTAAGAGCTTCAGTACAATAGTCACATATTTTTTTTTTAATATCATAGATTTATTAAAAATAAAAGTAAAGTAATAAGAGAAGTTAGCATTTATTTCTTTTATTTTAAAGTGAGTTAAAGATAAAAAGAAATAATCATAATGGGGCTACACTATAAGATTTCATGATAAAGTTCTTAAATTAAAAAGATTAATCTAATTTTAAAAACTACTTTTTCTACCTTTCTCTTAAAATGTTACCCGCTCTTTCTGATGGGCTCCTTCAGAAAAACTTTAAAATGAAGATGAATATCATAATAAAGTTAATAAATCAAATTCACAACAAAAATATCTTTAATAATTTTAAAAATCAACACACACTTAACTCAATTAAACAAACACACCATAACATTTCCCAAACACATAACCAAACAACACATAATACTTAATAAACAACAAAATTCCACAAAATTCCCATCCAAACCCCAAAACCACCAATAAAAAAAATTACCCTAGACTAATCAAAATACTACTACCAATTAATCACAACACACCTACAATAAAACCCACCAAATCCAAAATTACTCAACACAAAAAAATCCCAATTCAAACCAAACACCAACAACCCAAAAAAATATTTAACCTTTAAAATAAACAAAAACAACAAACAAATCCACACCATCTCACAAAATAACACCTCCCTAACCCATAACACCCACCACCACATATAACCCACACACCAAACAATTATTCCTAATAAACAATCACACAACATTATAAATAACCCAAACCAATACCATAAACCCACCAAATCTCCATTCCTCTACCCTTCCAACACCCACCAAACCCAACCACAAATCACCTCTACAACACATACCTTACCTTATCTAAATATCACCCCCACCCACATAAAATACCATCCATCATACACACCACCCCCAAAACCAAAACCAAACAAATAAACATTTATAAACAAAAAAAAAAAACCAAAACAAACAAAATAAACTCCCAACCTCAAAATCTTCTCCATTTACATCCCACTAAAATACAAAACCCCAAACTTACACCCACACAAACCACACAATAACAAACCAAAACCATAATCTCACACCCCAACCCCATTCTACATCTCCTTCAAACCCACATCCCATCAAACACCACCCAACCCTCTATAAAAATCTACCACCCCACCCAAACAATCACACCCCTCTACCCTCACACCCCCCCCCAATACCATTAACAACCCACCTAAACCCCAAACTCTACAACCCCCCCAACCCAACCCACCCACCAACGACCCCAACCCGCAAGTCACACGCCCTGGCAACCCCGCGCCCCCCCCCTACATCCCCAACTCACATGTTTCCACACCACGAACACAAACAACCACCCAATCTCCCATAATACACCAACCTCCAATCCTCCACCCGCTGCCCAACCCCAACCCACCCCGTAAACATACAGTAACCAGCAACAACCCACCTTTAATAACTCCACCTATGTACATAAACCCCACCTCCCTCACTGTAAGACAGAAATGGCGGAAATACATGTAAGATATGTAAGGTACTCATCTAGACCTCTACATAACCAGAATATCTAATGAAAAGCATGAATTATTTTATATTATAATTCCAAATTTTCATAAATTTAAGATACTCAAGTCTGAGACAATAACCAAAAATAATATTAACAAACTAAGCTATTGAACGTTATAACCAAAAACTAAAACTTGAAACATTGAATATGAGTCTCAAGTTTCTAATTAAAGCTAATAGCTTGTCAACAAGTTAACACAGCAGGATTTACTCCAGAATCATGGTTATAGCGTAGCAAGGTAAACGTTAAGCATTGATCATAAGTTATATGGCCCTAATGGTCTAAAATTAGAATTATAGGGTTTACAACAGTCTGAAAATATACCTTGCGCTTCTTGTCTCCACCCAATTCAAAATGCTTACACCTCTTCAATGGAACTTGCTTCCTATATTTGCAATCAGTACATTCCATCCTTAAAACAATTTTCTTCGTGGTTTTAGCCTAAAATACATAAATTAGTAAATAAATGATTCAAAAAAAACACAGAATCATTAAACAAATTCATAAACCACAAACATACCTTCTTCCTGAAAATGGGTTTTGTTTGACCACCATAACCTTGCTGTTTACGGTCGTATCTCCTTCTTCCTTGAGAAGCATGCCTTTCCTTAGACTTTTTATACTGTGTTACTTTGTGAAGCTTGTGGACTTTACATTTTTTGCAAAATGTACGTCTCTGTTTCGGAACATTAACCTAACAGAAAATTAAAGAACATGAAACATTGATTTAAGAAGTGAAATGATGTAAAATAAATAACACTTTCTTCTAACCATTATTTTATTTATGGATGAGTCTAGTAAAACCAGATATTACAAGATTAAAATTCTATTTCTTACTCACCATTATGGACTTCCAAGAGATCACACAATAAGGAATCGAGTAGCTCCCAATGCTCACTTGATGGTGATACCTAGACCAGTTTTGCAGGTGGCATATTTTTGCTTTATATTTTTTCTGAGAAAATCAATTGTTATATAAATGTAAAGATTAATCAATACTTTATATTTAAATAATCTTTTAAAATATTTTGTCTCTATTGGTTGAAATTATTGTAAATGTCGTTACAAAGTTTATTAGCTCTTTGAACTTGACATCAGTTGAAAGTTAATTATATTTATACTTCATATTCTTTATTATTAAGAATATATAAATGTGTAAAACGATACTTTTAATATATTTCTGTTTTTTTTAAATTACTTTTTTCCAGGGAATTGATAAAACCATCTTGGTTTATAAATATGTTTCATAAAAAGCCCTGGCAACCAGTGACAAATTTTCATGGACATCCATGAAATATCGGACTTATCTCTGAAACCAAATCCAAAAATACTATATACATTTGTGTCATTATTATATAATAATAATGTATTGTTTAAAGTATAATCAATTAATAAATATTTCAAGAATTATTTCTATGACACGAGCCGATTTTGAAACATACCTGCTTAAGCAAAAGTAGTTAATGCATTTGATTTAATTGATACTGTACTATTTTTACACCAATCTCTAAAATTACTACAGCTTTGAACCAAATTATAAATGGTAAACTATACCAGATGGTATAGAGAGAGTATTGAGAGAGAGATCAATCGGAGGATGGAGGAGACTCGCCTAGGATAGGGAAGAGTAAAGTAGGATTATTGAGGAGTCCCAGACCCTTGTAAGGCTGTAGCACCATGGGGTAAGCGAGTGATACCTCAGTTTGCATGGTATTCAAATATGTCAGATTGCCTTCGCTTGTATAGTTTTGTAATTGTGTGACATTAGAGTGGAAATGTGATGTCGGGGTGTGTTACCTTGCTATTCTAGGTGTCGCGGTAGCGAACCAGTGTATACAAATACATCAGACCCTGATCAATTAATTATTAAATATGATGTACCAACGGCATACATTTGAAAAAGTAATATTAGTGAATGAGAACACAAAGTGAATTTTGTCACGAAATTATATTTTCTTTACGTCTAAACAAAATTTAGAATATTTCAATGGCTAAATGTGTTTCAACAGTAAAAATATATTTTTTTTATAATAAACCATTGACTACATAATACCCATGCATTTCTGTATAAAATTTTAATTTCTGAATATCTTTAAAATATATCCACGTCACCCAGTATGGCACTAGTAAATCTATTTTTGTAATGCTTTATATCAACCCCTGGCCTAGTTTTTGTTGCCGCGGACTAACCAGGATGGAAATGTCAAGATTCATTCCTCAGGACTATCGATAAATAAATATTAAATGACTCAGGTGAAAATCGAACCCACAACTTTCTGAACCGGACACTCTACAGCCTCGCACCAACGTCCTCATAAATTGCGTACATACTTTGATACTTCGAACTAGTGAGGTTGATGGAGAAATATGAAAAGATTAAGGGTTGAACGGGGAATCTTCAATCCGATCCTCGTTAACGCACTCCAGATTAAGGGTTGAACGGGAATCTTCAATCCGATCCTCGTCAACGCACTCCATCTTATATATTGTTATATTGTTGTTACACACAATATATATTGTTTCCTAACATAGTAGTTTTAAGGTTCATTGAATATTTCTTTCAAGAAACTGCGAATGCAATTGTCAATGGCATGAGTTAGGACATTCCTTATTTAGGTAGTGAATTTATTGATAATGTAGTGAGTCAAACGGAAGAAAGTTTTTCAGAGAAAATGTTTGCATAAACTTATAACTGATTATTATTAAATCTTTAAATGCCCGAAAAAGATCTATTGTAAATCACTAGGTTAATCGGTCATTGGTTTTGAAAACCTATGGCCCTTTTATAATGAATTCTATGTTTAATTAAAAATACTATTTAGTTCGCAAAGATGATTGGTTAAAAAAAATTTAATTTAATTTAGACAATTAATTCTAGCCACGTTTTCTTGATGTTGATAAAAGAAATTGTCATTGTTTAAGTTTGCATTGAGCTTCTAAATCGAGACATTTCGATTAAGATTCTTCTCTACTGCCTTCTACATCTGGCTATAGATCGTAGGTTACTAAATGTTATTCAAATGTTTACCATTTCTTTGATTTCTCCGATCCTAAATTTTGAAATGTAACAAGGTATACTTTGCTATTAACATTTTCAATGCTGTAAAAAATCTTCCGATCGTTATGTTATCAGTTTAATTTCATACTAAAGGTCGTCGAGGTTTTTTAAATTATGAATACAAAAAAGTTTTAAGTCATCTTATGAAACTGTTTGTTTATAATTAAAATATTTCCTGGCTAATGTTTACTTTAGAAACAGAATTTTCTGTAACTATGTTATTTGAGTAAAGTCATCAAGTTATTCAATTCTAATACTTATAGTTACCATCATATTTCTTATTTTCCACGAATTGTTATATTTCCTTTTAGTTACATATTTGAAGAATATATTATAAGTTCCAATCAGAATATTATCAAAGCTCCAATGGAGTCTAGTAAGTAGTGATTCAATTATATAGATTTATTAAGAGTTATTATTAATTTACTAATATATACCAAATTTCTTAGATGCTTCACAAGACGAGTTGATTATTCAACAACACAGGGAAATAGAGAGAGAGGTATGTGATTTCGTAAATTATTATATTTTTGTATGAAAAAAATTCTAATGTCTTGTGTTTTTAGATATCTGATACCATTAAGTTAATTGGAGAAAAAGAAAACTTATCAACCCTGAAAAATGAGTACATCAATGATCCTGTTTACCAGAAAAAAATCTTAGATCTTTGTAATAAATATGAAAATATAAGGAGAACTCGTCCTGATGGGAATTGCTTTTTCAGAGCATTTGGTTTTGCTTATTTAGAACATTTATTGGACAAGAAAGATCAATATGAAAGGTTTAGTGTTTTCATTAATATACTTTTAATTTGTTTTATCAAATTGGCAAATTTTATTGTAAAAATTTGAAATGTTTTCAGGTTTAGAGAATTAGCTGAAAAAAGTAAAGATCAGTTGATTGCACTTCGATTCCCAAAATTTACACTGGAGGATTTCCATGATGTTGTAAGTCTAATGAGTTTTGTTTGCTGTGTTGTGTTCAATTATTGAAAATTATTTAGTCAATTCTAGATTAGAATCGCTTCTTAAGGATAGTGATTGATTTCAAAATCATATTGACTACACTGCTGATAGAATCCCAGAACTAACAAAGGGTGTCCCAAAAGTAGAAGGAGATTGCTCATTCCTTGATGCTTGTGAAGGAGTCCGTTCTGACTTATATTGAATGTTTGTTAGGTTCAGTCAGTTTTAGTCTCTAATAATATTAAATTATTTTTTTTGTCTTAATAACAATGTTAACTGAATCATCAAAATGTTTGTCAGCTGTGTATTGAAACTGTCACTTCTTCCTAGGATATAAGTATTAAAATAAACATATTTTTTTAGTTGCTAAACTACCATCCAGATTATTAGGCACAATTACTGCAATTAGCAATACTTGTAATTAAATTAAGAACTTATGCAATCAATATGATATTGTTGATGTAACATTATTATATTTTATTTATATGATTATATAAGTCAGGGCATGGAACTGAGATGACCTTGTGGTTTATTGACTTTGAATAGGTGATCAAAGATAAGCAATGTCGAGTGTGGTAAGTTCTTGGGTGGATGATCGCCCGAAAAGACTATCCACTGCAGAAACTGCCTGAGATTCCTCCCTCGGGTTTGTAAGACCTGTCATGTTACTGGAAAAAATTCATACTGACTGAGTTTTGTAGTAATGACCTTACTCCTCATACTTTGATTGGTAGTTGGGAGACGTTTTTATAGGATGCCAGTGGGTCCCCTGGGTTTTGGTACTTGAACGGTCTGTTTGAAGGAAAGATATGTATGCTTATCTGTTGTGGGTTGGAAATACTAAATACATGTAAAAAGCTTTGGACTGTTCTAAATTAAATAATTTTGTGTTTATTACATACATATACAGGTACAATTCATTGTAGAATCAAGATCCTCTTTAAAACTTTCCGCCATTCACCTCTATTCTGTGCAGCAGCCATCCAGTCCGTTATTCCAAGGATATAGCTGGTATTTGTGTGGACGCTATCCAACCATCTTGTTGTGGGTCTTCCTGCTCTTTTGGCTAGGTAAAGTATCCATCCCACCCAGCCAGGTCTCCTTTCATTGATCCTAGTAACATCTGCGTTCTTAAAGAGTGCATAGATTTTTTCTTCTCTAGGCATTACCTTCCCTTCCCCTGTCGATCAGATAATGCTTCTTAGTATCTTTCTTTCAAAAATCAGCTGTCTTTCGTAATCAGGGTTAATCCTTGCTCAAGATTCAGATCCATACGCGAGGACCGGGCAAGGACTTAGTACAGACTCACTTTTATCTCATTGATTATATACTGTTAAATAGCTTGGCAAGACTAAAATAGCAACTGTTTGCTGCTGCGATCCGACCTTTAATATTTTGAGATTTATCACCATCCGAATTCATCTCAGACCCCAAGTACATAAAGGGCTGCGTCCTCTCAAACTTGTATGTCTCAATTTCTATATGCTCTTCCTGGAAGCGCTCTAGTCCAGCTTGTATATGTTTAGTTTTTGTTTCGTTGACAAGTCCAAACTTTTTAACTGCCTTTTGTAGCTTCCTTCAGTGTATTTGAGATCTAACAACAATCATTGGTATATCGGAATATATGGAAAATTCTGTTGAAAATTGTGCCTGCCCTTTGTATTACAGATTCCCTTACTGCCCTTTCTTCAGTAACATTAAAAAGCAGACAGGCCAGCGTTTGTGTTAATTGTAATTATTTATTTTACAGTTTATGGAAGTAGTTAATGCTGTTGGTGAAGGTGGTGAAGAAAGAATGTCAGAACTTTATAGAATGTTTAATGAACAAGGCTACTCAGATTATGTTGTTGTATATTTAAGGCTAATAGCTTCCGCTCATCTTCAGGAAAAAGCGGAGTTTTATCAGAACTTTATCGAAGGAAACAGAACAGTTATTGATTTCTGTCATCAGGTAACTTAATTTAATTTTTATATTTGCAAATGTACACATTATTATTGTTTTTATAATCCAAAGATATTATTTGATATCGAAGTTTTGAAGCGTATCATCGATTAATTGCAGAAAGTTACTGATTAGTAGAAAAATATATTTTGTTCTTTGTGTTTAGAAAAATATGCTGTTTAATATATTAAAATTAAAAATAAATCTCGATTTAGTTGTTCACCTATTAAAAAAAAAAAATTAACTTTTTTTCATAATTAAAAGTGTTACTAAAAGGTTAAAATAAAATTTTCCCTAATAATTTTTATCTTAAAATTATCATTTTGGTCGTTCATGACTCGAGGAATATTGATTGCTAAATGCGGTACATACGAATTCTACTAGGAGGATCAGACTAGTATAAGTGAGATTAGTGAAATTGTATTTTGGTTGGTGAATTTGTAAATTTTATCTCGGTGACAGCATTATCTTTTGCTTAACGCTGAAAATAACTGGGATCATCTTTGATTTCCTTCAAATGAAAGAATTTCTTTCGTCTTGAAGTTTTTGCTATAATTAAAGTCACAACCTTTTAATGTAGATCCTAAAGTTGTCAACTCATCAATTTTTTAAATATTGTTTTACGCTAGATTTTTTTTATAAATAAATTATATGCACTATATTTCTATCTGATTTTTTTAGGAGGTGGAACCTATGTATAAAGAAAGTGATCATATTCATATAATTGCTTTGAGTTCTGCGCTTGATGTTGGAATAAGGGTTCGTTATATGGATCGTGGAGATGGCTCTGAAGTTATAGCTCATGATTTTCCTGAGGGAACGGCTCCAAGAGTCCATCTATTGTATCGCCCTGGCCATTATGATATTCTCTATGAGAAAAATCCGTCATCGTAGCCGTTAAAGGTATCTAGTTTGATATATCATTGAGTAACAAATGACGAAACCTAACATTACGTTTTGAGAGTAATAATATAATAAGCATATGAGAATCTATAATGTTAATACCAAAGTAGTTAAAAAAAAATCTTGGCTAATAGTTTTCTCTATAAAATGGTTATTTACTTATTGTTTATTTGTTAAAAGAACAATGCATTAAATAAATCTGTTTATTCTTCTTTACTTCATTATCAGTTATATTTATTTGTAATGTAAATCATATGCCATGTTTTTACTTTCCTGTATGCGGTTTTCAACGTATCTTTACATTTAAAAGCCCCCTGAATTAGAGCCCCTGAATCTGAAAAACACATTTTCAGCCATTGATCTGTCTGTGCCAAGATTATCTCGGAAACGAATAGACCAGTTCTGTTGCTTTTGTTTTTGTTTTGTAGGTTTTTGATTACAAATGGCTGTGAACAAATTTGGTCCTCCCTGCACAATATAAGAAAAACACGTTTTTTCATAGGCTGCTGTAGCATTAAAACGTCTCTAATGATTTTGATGAAACTTTTAATTATTGTCTTTTTAAAATCATTTCAATTTTTTATATATTGAAAATTTAGGAACAAAGTTATACAGAAAAGAAAAATGTTCAGGGACCTAACTCACATAGTATACCCTCTATGGTTGGATTTATGTAGAATCTTTTGAAAGATAATCAAATTACATACAAAGCAAAAAAATTCATTGGAATTGAACCACTATTAGCAATGGCACAGCGTATTATATTTTCTATGAATGTTTTATTACTTTCCTACCGTTATAATTTATTTATTTTTCTTTTATGGATATATTTAAAGTCATATAAAGTTGTCTAAAATAGGTAGAAAAATCTTGTGAGTGTATATGCCAAATTTTTTGGGGTTAATATTCTAATTCCAGTCCTCATAAAATTGTAAATAGTTACTACTGTAAATATGTATATAAATTATTAGAATGTTCTTTATTATTTTTACTTCATGTTTATTTTAAATTTTTTATTTTTTATTATTAACTGACGTAAATTAGAAAGTAACTTATAATTTCTCTTATTATTTTTTTAAAATTTATTTATTTTTTTGACTATTTAATCAAACTATATTCTTGCTTGTTTGTGTATCTCTGAGGCTCCTTAGCCCACATTTTTGTCTCTCTGTATTATTCTAAAGGGACTCTTCACAGAATAAATAAAGCATTATTATTATTAGATTATAATCTGAAAAGTTCCAGCTACACAGCCTTTTGTCTCCAAAATGTAGGTAAAGAAAACAACCCATCAACCTTTCGGGAATTCAGGCATCACCAGGACAGAAGAGAAAAGCAAGTCGAACATCATTCCATGACACCGAATCGCATACTGATTATGCGTGTTTCATTCATTGAATTCATTTTGGAGACATAAGGCTATGTGGTTAGAATTTATATAATTATAACCTAACATTTATGTTCTGCCTCTTGTTGAGTTATTTTATACTGATTTATATATAAACTCTAATTAGAATTATTTTATGGTGTGTTTCAGACTCCTTGAATATGAAGTAAAAGAAAATTCTACTAAATATTTTTTGTATAGATACTTATTAATTCTCTAATGCCTTTGATCTCAAGCAGATATGAAGTAATAATTGAATATTGAAAAAAAAATTAATTGAGACCACTAAATTAATTTTATTTTTTTTTTTTATTAGATTTTTGTTACAATTTCATTATCACTGCACTGTATCCATTCTTTCCACCAATGTTCTCTAATTTATTTATTTTTATAATTTGTATATATACAGTGAGTGGATATATATTTTAAGATTCTTTCAATCCAAGTTTCCGTTTTGTGATGTGTAAGAATTGTTCAAATAGTGTATTTTTTATATATCTATTAATAAATACACATTTCTATGAAATAAATATTTGAAATTTTATTATTTGGCTATGTAAATTATGTCTACCTACTCCACGTATCTACTTGACCAATCTTTATACTGATAAATGGAACATATTTTTTGGAGGAGGCATTTATATTTTTATTTTTTTTATACCTAGGACTCCATCTGGACTAACATCTAACTTGGAATCCTCATACCAGACTGAAACGACAAGAAACAGCTCGACGTTTCCGACTACTTCAACACTTACTAGACAAACGCTCTAACCTTCCAGTTAATTATAAAAGACTCATTTACATGACTATAATAAGGCATATTTGGACTTACGGAGTTGAGCTATGGGGCTCCACCAAACCTTCAAATTCCTCTCGTATCCAATCCTTACAATCCAAAATCCTTCATGCTCCTTACTTTGTTACAAATAAAATCATCCATAATGACCTTAATGTTCCTTATGTATCAGATTTGGCCCAATCCAGATATCTGTCCTTCCATAATAAACTTCATAACCATCCCAACCCTCTTGTTTCTAACCTTGCTTCCTATTCAATTCCTGATAACCCTCCGAGGCGTATGAAAAAAAGATGGCCACGTGATCTCCTAATATAGACATATTATTAGAGTGCTACCAATGGGTAGTTTCTCAACATGTGTTTCATGTCATTATATCCATGTGCGAATTTACCAGATGTATTATTTGTATACAGTTGTAAATATTATATAAATAAAAAAAATAAAAATTTTATGCTAAAAGATTTTGAGAACCTCGCTCCCATAGGTATTATTTCTTTTTAAATGAGATATTTCCCAATTACTTTATGAAACTTTTGTTTTGGACAAGTTCCTTAACTCAGTGCTGAACTCATCAATGGCCATCGGATATCTATTAGGCTGTTCTTGAACTTATTGCAGGATCCATAAATGGAATTAGGGTTCCTATACTTGGCATGAATCTTCTTCCATTGGTGCTGGATTCAAAAATTGGATGTCCGATGGAATAAGCACATACTGTAGCAACATGGCCTTTCTTATGTTTATTAATATTATGAAATAACTTTTTGAGAATTACGACATTTAATATTTTATTCAAATATACAGAATGTTTTTTTCTAATAAAATTTAAAAAATCAAAATGTAAAGACTTTTGATGTAGGGTTTCGATTACATAACACTATCGAGTTATTAAAAATATTATAAATTATATATTTATAAAAACCTTTACACATGTATAAATATTTAGACAACCACAATGCGTAATTTATTATTATGAATATCTTACTATTTCAATTGAATATAAAGGATACAGTGTTATCAGAATAGGATAACGTAATAGAGACAGTGGAAACGTAGGACATAAGATGAGAATAGAAATTATCAGGTTATGGTTTAACATTTTAATTCAAACTGATTAAAAAAAAAATCAAGTTTAAAAATTATGATACACTTAAGAATTAATTATAATTTACAAATATTTACAATATACAAATGTATATATACAAAAGACAAATATAAACATGAAAGATCAATATAAACGAAGCATCAATAAAACAATACTGCTAACTATGAGCTTGTAAGACTAGCCATAAGGAGTTCCATTTTATTGAGGAAGTTCTTCCCTTCCATTTTATCCCAACGCACTTCTTTAAATGCGCCACCCAAGTTTTCCCACTTCCTCTCTTTCACTAGCTGCCCACTGAAGAAATCTTTTTTAGGAGAATGAGCAATAGACACTTGAACAGCACCTTGGGGTTCACATCGTACAGCGATTAACCTGAAAAATAATTCATTTAATAATTAAATAAGAAACTGAAATATTTTATCATAAAGCAAAAATGTGACCCATAATAAAAGAAAAACTCGAAATTCCTAAATGAATATGCATGCTTATGAAAGTGATGGATACATAAAATAACGGAAACAAAGTTAAAAACTATGAAATAACAATAACTTCATGAAATTAACAAAGCAATACAAAATGAATTTAAAAAAGAAATGATATGGAATATTAACTAATACCAATAAATCGTAGATATATGTAGTGAAAATAAGATATATTAATCACTATAAGTTGATGTTTTAATATGTTAAGAGGAAATGGGATAAACATAGAATAATAATAAAAAAAACAAAGATAAAGGAATATTAAGTTATACATAGAAAATAATAAAAGTAAATAACTGCTTAAAATATTTTCTTGCTGATAAAGGACAGTTAATACAAAACTAGTTTATAATTTTTCTATATTGGAAAGTAAAATTCGTTATCATTTCTAAAAACATTAATGGATAAATATAACTGACTAAAATTTAGATTTAATTAAAATGAAATTATTAGGAAAAAATATACAATAAAAATAGAAATGCAGTGTTCTTTTAAACAATCACTCATTCAACTAATATCGGACAATAGAGCTCATTTAGTATTATTATAAATAAAAAAAAGGCTCAATGAAAAAAAAACAGAATTCAATATAAAAGTACAATAATCCTTAATTTTAATATTTCATTTCCTCATTCATGTAAAAACAATATAAACATTCACTGGTCCCCTTCACTTTTCTAGGTCAATAATAAGGGAATTTTGATCTTCGAAATAATTACGTAAGGATATGACTGATCTTTGGTCATCTTTTCCCTCTCTTTTGGCATGTCAGACCTAGTAGATTTTTTGCCGCCTTAACTAGACTTCTCCATCTCTGCCTATCTTTGGTTTATTTTTTTTCCAGTTATCTGCATGCAGCTCTATTACATCTTCGTTGATTCGATCTATCCATATGTTTTTATCCTCCCTGTTGTCTTATAACTTCTATTGAAGCTTTGCTGTTTAGAGACTTTCAGACGGATTGCTCCGAGCTTTATAGCCCGCCCATCTTAACCTCCTTGCCTTCATATAATGTGATATTGATTGACCATTATTGGCCTTTCTCCTCCATGCATAATTATTCTGATCCCAAATCACTCCAGTTATCATGCGGAGAGGTTTTCTCTAAAAATTTGCAATACCTCTTTCTAGGGTGTTGCATAGGGTCCAGGTCTCACAGCGGTATATGAGAAATGGTTTTATTATATTATTGTAAATACATAATTTGTGATTTCAATACCTTTGAAAGAGTAAAGAAAGCCCTTTTAATGCTTGTTACAGGGTAGTCAATTTCCAACCGCTGGTTGTTCTATAGAGGTTATTGTGGATCCGAGGTATTTGAATTTGTCTGCTCTTACCCGACTACACTTCACCTCTAATACATAAGTGTAATAGAGTAACAAGTATGACTGTATATACATCAGATATTATGTTAACCTTATGTCACAACTAATAATAATTCTGAAACATTTATTTATTTATAAACCCTGCCGTGCCTAGTAGGCAATAGAGGTGTCTGCAATAGTAAGATGTTAGGCAGGTCAGCTTAACATCTCACAGCTGCAAGTAAATCTTGGTCTTCTGCTCTTTCATCATTTCATTGGTTTCATCTGTTTCATGCCAATGGTCTAGTACCTTCTTAATCGAAATGGGCTGGCCCCACCGCGGCTTTTCACCCGTACATAAAATCTTTGTAGTACGGGTAGTTTTCCGCAGTGACTAACTGAGGAAAATCGTTTTCTGTGAGAATGTAGAGACCGATTTCCCTCAGTAACTTAGTCCTTAGTTCTTCAAAGGCATTGCAGTTGACTATGATGTGCTCAGCAGTCTCCGGAACACCGCAGCTAGAGCATAGGGGGTCGATGTCTATCCCATGGTAATGAAGCTTTGCTCGAAAGCCCCTATGGCCTGTGAGAAATTGCGAGAGCCAGTAGTCCGGAACGATCCACTTTGCTTTTAAACGTGACCGGACGGTGGGGAAGTACTTCCTCAAGGTAGATCCTTATGGGATTATAACCCACCGCCGGTTCCAATCCTCCATTGTGTCCTATATAATGTATTTCCATTTGCAAGGTTTCTCGTCAATTCTCACCTTAAGGTTTTCCAGCAGATCTTCTGAGCCATTTTTCTTAAACATATGTTTCATCATGTCTTCACGCAGGAGGTCGAGAGGTTCCCCTCCTGCTAATACCTGCACCCCCTCATGGGATACGCTCCGATAGGCCCTGGTGATCCGCAGCAATGCTGTTCGCTGTATTGTCGCCACTCTTTTGTCGGTGCGAGAGGTTCTGGTTTCAGGCGGGAGACGCATAATAGCAAAGTTGCACTCATGTTGCTCTGTTATGTTAGTTTGTGAAATTCCCTGACTTGCAGTTTTTTCATTTCTCAAATTCCCTGAATTTCCAGGTGCGGTGAACAAATTAATTTTATCTCCAGGTGGTGATATCAGCTATCAGCGACACCCTGATATTGTAATTACTGATTTTATTTATTAAAAAATTAATTGTACCACTTTCTCAGTTGAGAGATATTTAAGAAATAAAATTAGTAATACCTATCGCCCATCGGTGAGGCGAGGATACAGCTACTCGCGTTCCCAAGAGGCTCAACTGCTCCAATTCCAAGATGAGTACTGTTAGAAAGATACTGCCAGCCCATGCACCGGGCGAGTTGCTGGACTGCTGTAATCTGGTGCTGGTAAATCTAGAAATTGATTGAAACTGTATTAGAAATAAAATTAAGAAAAAATTTACCTACAACATAATGAATATAAATTATTTTAAAATGATAATACAAAATTAATTAAAACTTATTTGGTTAATGAAACCAGTGGTCTACATTGAGACCTCCACTAAGTCTCGTAGGCCGCATTATACCTCCACTATGTCTCATAGTCTTGTGAAGAAAAAAAAAATCTTATTCTATAAATAATGCTTCAGTTGTGAAATGAGTTTTTTTAAGAGAAACAATTCATGCAATAAATGTAGTAATAATCTCATGTTTGAGTGTTTTACTAAATTTCATATCTTTTAAATAGTTTTTGAAATGTTACCATATAGAAAAAGAAACTTTCCGTGATTAGGAGATCCTTGATTTAAGCCACTGGTTTCTAATAACAAAAGGTAATAAAATACTGAAAAAATAAATTTGATACCTGACAAAATATAAGATCACGAAGTTCCTGAAGTTCATAAGACATATGCATAACACGGCCATCACGGCAAACACATTTTAATGATTTATCAGCAACCTGTATGACAAGGGAAGTTCGACAAACAGTATCGTACCTATCAGACAAGAACCACATATTAATTTAAATTATAATCAAATAAGAAAAAAATATACCTTCATAAACTTGGATCAGATGAAATTTATATACCCATGGGTCATTATGTTGATTTTTACGCACGAAACACAAGGAGAATTCAAAGCATTCCAGTGAGATACAATAATTGGATCCTTAACTTCTTTGATGATCGTATCGAGAACATATTCGGTGCGAATGCGAAGGAAGAAATGTTGGGCTTGCTGAATGATTTGTTCTAGAAGTGTTTGACTGCAAACAAAATAATAAATTAGGACATAGAATCAGAGGCTAAAAAATAAAATTTTATCCAAATAAGTAAAAAACAGATTGTGATGAATGGTAAAATTGTAGATTATTATTTTTGAAATGGTTTAAGATAAATGTACCAGTAATAGAAACTTTAAGAAAAATTTTCAACATTAATGTGAATCACAGCTTTAGTTCTGACGGTGGATATTTTGAAATGAATTTAGTCTTTTAAACCATTTTTTTTCTTATATGCAGTCAATAAGTTAAATAATCATGACAAATTTATGGAATTCTGACAGGATATTTTAAACTATTTAGTAATAGACACTCAGATTTTTGGAGTAAATAGGTTTGTTTATTTAATTAGAAAACCTAAAATAAATTCTTCACAGTTTTAAACTAAGAAATAGCAAACCACAGATGAATGAATACAAATTTAAAACTTATCTCCTCCTAAGGGAACCTCCTTGAAACAAATCCCAGCCTGGTCTTATTAAAAAATAAATTACCAATCTACTCATATTAGCACCATCTTTTTGGAGTATAATTAAGTATAAAGAATTTAGCATTCTTTAAAGGAAAGAAAAGGAAATTTTATTCTGTGATATTCAGTACCCTAAGAATAATTATGATAAACAATGAAGTGACATTTGTTTGGCATTAGAAGATAATCAAGGAGGTAAGAAGTTTTTTGGCTGTAAAAGTTCGGAAAAGGAATACACCTAGGAAATATTGCAGTCGGAAAACCGAGATAGAGCCACTTCAACTTGGTATAGCGAACTGGAGACGTGGGAGTCCCTGGGGACTCCAAAGATGAATCTAATGAAACAATTCATTAGTCTATTCAATCTGATCTAAAGCCAACAAGACAGCCCATCGTATACAAGACAGCCATAATTGAAAAGAGGCAAAATGTGGGAAGAAACTAAACTAGGATTGGTGGTTTTAAGGAGCATAGAATCATGGAATCTCAGCAACTATTTTAGGCTAGCAATGGATTTTTGTATTATTTGAGAAATATGATTATTGCAGAGCAAGTATTGATCAAAAATTACTCCAAGATTTCAAACGGAAGTATGGAAACGAATAAGTAGACCATTGAGGTAGAGCAGAGGATAATAAAGAATGGAATTAATAAATAAAATGCTTAGAACCAATGAGAATGATTTTGCTCTTCTGAACGTTAACTTCATTGCTGACTGCCCAAGTGTTAATTCTGTCTATATTTTCTTATACCCTTGGATCATCTCAAGCAACTTAGTAGGATGGAAGAGAAACTAGATTTGGAAGTCTTGCTTCGGTTAGTTAGCAAATAATTTTTTGTTTTAAATGCCTAATCAATACATCAAAAATAACGAATAAAATGCACAGAAAGATACCTTATGTATTATAAAAATCATTTTATACTATATAAATTAATAAACAATTTAAATAATTATTTGTTGCGAATTTGTATTTACCTCTTAGTCATTTCAAGTAGCTGGTAGCGATCTGCAGCAGTTGGTCCAGCTAGGCAGCGCCGCTTAGATGGGCCAAGGGGTGCAGACGATGGATGCGGGAATGGATGGTGTGTATTTCGATGATGAACCTCTCTCAATAACTGATGTAAAGAATGTTCGAGGACATGATCATGTTCAGATTTAAAACCACTTTCGCGTTTCTCAACATTCCCTCCCGTTGTGCTGTGAGTTAAATGAATAATGAGTTGTACGCCAGGAAACATCTAAGAAAACAAAACATATGATAGTAATAAAAATGTATACAAAATAAAAAATTATTATATCATATTAGATAGTTTTAACAATTTAGGATTGTCTGGTACTTCATATATGTAAATATCAAGAATTAAAGAAGTTTTTCTTTTATGAACTAACTATAGAATAGAAATAATTAAATTCCAATATTTATCAGAGTACTCCAAAATGATTATTGAGAAAATAAAAAACCTATAAAATTTCATAGGTTATAATAAGGAAAAACATTAACTTTATCTATTAATTTATTAAAACAGGAGTAGCTTGAGTAAATTTATAATTAAATACATCTTCCTAAAACACTTTAAACAACTTACAGAAGCCATTATTTGATTTCCAAGAACCATATGAGGGATGGGAGCATGCAATTGAACTGCCTCTTTCGCCAACTGATTGAATAACTCCTTACAAAACAAAACATTCTGAGCTGATTCTAGTTTTTGCCTCCAATGGAGATCTGGATGGTTTACAGCCCTCTCACCGAGGGACGTGATTGAAGCTGAGCAAAGGTCTTCTTGATCTATAACAGTGAGGGATTGTACCAATAAATATAACATAAACAGATGGTAGAAAGAACAATTATCTATTTCAATAACAATAATTTGTGTGAGGTAAGTAACAAGAAGATATATTTCAAAATCATTTTTGCCTTAGCACTAAGAATAATAATATGGTTCTGAAGATGGTGTTATAACCCCAAAATGTAAACTATGATTGGATGAGTTAAATAATAAAGAAGAAAATACAGAAGTTTTTGAATTTCTTACATAAACTTTAATAAAGAAGAGAAGAATAGTTGGGGTGATCAGTCAAATAAGAAGGCAAAAATAAATGATACTATTTATTTTGACATTAGCCTACGTTTTGACCTGAAGTTCAGGCCATCATCAGGGCTAAGAAAAGAACCAGATAACAAGGTATGAGAAACATTAGTAGTGTAGGAAAAAAAAATTAAAGTAAAATTCAGTTGTTAGAATAATGACAATAGTAAGAACAAAGAGATAAATGATAATAAGCGGTACAAAGTGTGGAATGATGAAGTAAACATAATCAAAAAAGGTGACATAAGTATTAAAATGGGAATCTTAGAATAAAATGTAAAAACAGAAAAATATGAAGTTATATAAGAAATGGAAATAAACAGTAAAATTAAGATATTGTGAATAGAATAGTTAGATAGAAAATTGAGATGTTGTAAAGTCTATTAAGATGTATGGACAACGTATATTATAATACAGAGTTAAAACAGAGCAGAGGGATGAAAGGAAGGAGGAAAGAAACTGAGAAGGCTGAAATAAGAAAGAGAATAAGAAAGAAAAAGAAAACCCACCTGATTGCGGAGATGTAAATCTAAGCAATGAGCATGTTAGTCAGGGTGGGGGTGGAGAGAAGGGATGTATAGTGGCGTCTTCTCCAACTGTTATCTGACGAAGTTTGAACTAAAGTACCGGAAGTGTAAATAAGGACGAGAGATATATAACTCATAAATATTATGGATAATTAAACGAAAGTTGATAGAAAGAGGCAATAAAATAGTTTAATATAGAATAAATTTATAATAAATTTAAATAGTTGATAGAAATTCTGGAGAGGCAATAATTTTACTGTTTATTTCCATTTCTTATATAACTTCATATTTTTCTGTTTTTACATTTTATTCTAAGATTCCCATTTTAATACTCATGTCACCTTTTTTGATTATGTTTACTTCATCATTCCACACTTTGTACCGCTTATTATCATTTATCTCTTTGTTTTTACTATTGTCATTATTCTAACAACTGAATTTTACTTTAATTTTTTTACCTACACTACTTATGTTTCTCATGCCTTGTTATCTGGTTCTTTTCTTAGCCCTGATGATGGCCTGAACTTCAGGTCGAAACGTCGGCTAATGTCAAAATAAATAGTATCATTTATTTTTGCCTTCTTATTTGACTGATGACCCCAACTATTATTCTTCTCTTCATTATTCACGACAGTCAACCATTTACCAATTATAAACTTTAATAGCTTCCTATAAAATTTAAAAATTCAGTAAACGAATAATAAAAAACCTCTTTATTTAGTTACCACATTTTCATACTCGGTAGGAACATTCTACAGTCACTTACTCTACCACATATTGGAGGGAGAAGGTAAAATAAGACCCTAAGGGAGATTCCTCACTATTCCTACTCGTATCGTGAGCTCACTGGTAATGAAAGCCTTCAAGTTAATTTATTTCTAATGTCAGGAAGAAACAAACGAATAATAGACAACTCATTGATATATTATTCTATAAATCAATGTAGAGGAAGTAACTACCTATAATTAATAGTTGAATGTTACAAATACAAAATCACTACGATATAGTGATTGTACAATCCTTTTGAAATCCGTTGACTCCTGGTCACCTCCTTAATATTCCTCACTTCGACTATTGCTGCACAGTATATGGGGGCATCTCTGGGGATCTCGAGGCGAAACTAAAACATTTGATAAATTGCTTTGTACGATTCATCTTCGGGATCCCAATAGAAGCCCCTGTTTCTATGAAGAACTGAAATGACTTTATCCGTCCTACCACCGTAAGTATTTCCTGGCATCCTTCCTCTTCCAAGTAATTCACTCTCGCCGTCCTTCATACATCGCCGAGCTCCTTCAATTTAAAGCCTCTGTCCACTCCCGCAATATCCGTTCCCGGTCTTCAGATCTATTTATAATGGCCCACCGAACGGCTGCTTTCGATAAATCTTTTATCATTCGATCCTCAACCCTATGGAACTCCATCCCTCCTCACATCCAACAATCTAAAACTCTTCCTACCTTTAAATCCCATCTGTTTAATAATTTCTTATCCATCCAGCCCTCATAAAATTGTAAATAGCTACTACTGTAAATATGTATATAAATTATTAGATCGTTTTTCATTATTTTTACCACATATCTATTTTCAACTTTTTATTATTAACTGATTTAAATTAGAAAGTAAGTTATAATTTCTTTTATTTTGGCTATTTAATCAAACTATATTCTTGTTTATGTATCTCTGAGGCTCCTTAGCCCACATTTTTGTCTCTGTATTATTCTAAAGGGACTCGTCCCAGAATAAATAAAGCATTATTACTATTATTATTATATATAAGGCAGTAATTACCTTTCTGAACTATTACACCGATGTAGGCTACACCTTGTAACTCTGACGGTATAATAACTCTAAGAGCAGAAGCAGGCCTTGCTATGCCTCCCGGATCCGGACTGCTTTCTCCTGAAGTTTCTGGTTCATCCTCAGCCTTTGTAACTTCAAATAAGCCAGTCTGGGCATATTTACTGCCAGCTGTAATTGATAAATCAACATAAGTTTTATTCTTATATTCATAAAACATAGATAGTTTAATATAGAATGATCAATTCATAATTAATGAAATGATACCTAATTATGGTATATAAAAAAAAAATGTTCGTATAATAGGTAGACTGTATACATAATTCTTAAAATATAGAAAAATACCCTTTAATTAATTCAGTCTCAAGTTTATTTTTTCATCACGAGGAGCTTTCATCATATACACCTATTATAAACTGCATGTTGTTCTTTAATTTTTTTTTTCCTTCCAACTCATATTGATTGTTACACAAGTAAGCCTCATATCAAAGACTGACATCGGTCATTTTTAAAACGTTGAGAAAAAGCTAATTTTCTGTAACATAGCTTTAATTTAAACCAATTCTATTGATGGGTTTCATAATTTAACTTGAACATTCTTAAATAAAACCATCAGAAACATTTTTAATTAAACCTATGAAACAAAAATTGACTTTTTTTCCACTTTCTGAAAATGACAGATGTCCAGAAGACACTCATATTGTTTATTAAATTATGTTATTGGAGGAGAGAGGATCTTTTCAATCTTAGCAGATCATACTGTGAATATCCGATTATATGGCCCTGTAAAAGTCTTCTCTCCTCTAACAATATAGTCAAAGAAAAGTTTATTGTGACTGCATTCATTGTAAGCAAATAATATTATTTAAATTGTTTCAAGTAAATTAGAACAAAAAGAAATTAGATTTATTTCCTTTGGGCCGATGTTTCGATCTAAGTTTCAGAGCTGACCAAGGACCAGATTACAAATAAATATTGAGAAATATTTAATGATAATTGATGATCTAGGGGTTTTATGCTTATAAAGAACAACAAACAAACAAAACTAACATTAATAAAAATGCGGAATGGGAAATCAATAGCAATTAATCAATTATACTATTTTCACTAAATATTATTACTATTACTTTCATTATTTTCTCTATTTATATGTTATCTAATCTTGGTTTAGCCCTGAAACTTATGCCGAAATGTCGGCACAAAGAAAATAAATATGATTTATTTTTGTATACTTTCATTGATTGAAATCCTCAACCAACTTCTCTTCAACAATATCTTCCAAAAGTCAACAATTATCTATTATCTCAATAATATAATTTAATAAACAGTACAACAATGGATGAATGATTGGAAAGAAAAAAAAATCTGAAAGAATGACACTCAAGTTGATGATATACAGGTAAGAAAAGATGAATATAACGCAATGCATTGAAAGAACCTTGATATAATAAACTTGAGACTGAATTAAAATATATTTTTCTATATTTCAAAAATAGTTTTTTGAAAATTGAAAACTAATTAACACTAACATCGAAAGTGTCAACTATGAAAATACTCTTCGTAAGTAAAGCTTTATTTGATTTTATCTATTTATCAAATTTTCTCCCAAAGAATCTTTAACTTGTATTATATCAAGTCTTAACAATAAATGAAAGTTGATAGTCTATCTATTACCCTCCACAAACGGCTTGATTTGTATTCTGATTCAAATTAACCTCCCACAAAAGAGCACTGTTTTAATTTTAACAAATGTTGTTCACAAATGATCTAAAATAATACTATTACACCAGTTAGAAGAGTCTTAACAATTGAAAAAGCACAATTATTTATGTACATACTTATATACACTAAAGGAATGTTTAGTATCTTGATTCACTATTTAATTACTTGAAAATGTAACTAATATCATACCAGTACGATAAGAGAGATCTCCAATGATGGTATTTGACACTTTCTTCAACCTCCAGCTTTGTCTCAGACGCAGCAATTCAATATGAAAGTCTGGTACAGCTCTGTTGCGGGCCGCTTCAGTTTGGCATGTTCTTAACCTCTCAGCAGCGGTTAATAATACAGATGCTGCTCCAGCTAGGGCCTTGACAACAAAAATAATATAAATAGACATATACCTCCCTCATTATTGTTTAAACTATATTTATTTAATTAGATAAATAGGAGAAAAAATAGGAAAATAAAAAAACTACAGAGTTACAATTCCTGTCCCTAATATGCCATCAATCTGATGATTAGATCAATCTAATTAGAATCTTAAATACTTGTTCCAAATTCCTACTCCAAAATGGCTACTAGTTTCAAGACCACTTTAGGCGCATTGTAGATGGAATTCTGAAATAATCCTAGTTAGTACAAAATAGAAGTAGACAACCAATCCCTATTCCTTCATAACAGAATGTTTACATTAGGTTAAGTCAGCCTTCACCTACATTTCTTTACAAATATAAATTTTAGTCTCTATGTGATATTAATTTAATTTTGTTCTAAAAGGTCAATGTCGCAGAATAATAATTTTCATTTTAATGAATCGACCTGTTTGCTGGTTATATTTCAAATTTCCACTTCTTTTAAAGAAATAAACATAAAAATAATCATAATTTTCATTTCCCAACAATAATCAACATCCCGAAATCTCTTTTACATTATTAAGTACAATCTGTAATTATGATGACCAGAATTAAATAACTGTGATCAAAATGAAGCACTATTAGTTGATTATATATTAATCCATATTTTATACTGCATAATTAATTAATATAACATTTTTACATGTAATTTAGTGACTTTTTTTCATTCATAAAAAAAAAACACTTTTTTCAGATTTTCTTTAATCACTTTCAATGCATTTTAGATAAAAATATGTCCTTAGGATAAGTTCAACTTCGGAACTAGTACTCCAAATCTAGGTAATAGCAGATTTTATCCTCATAAGAGTGGTTATAAAAGGACCTGGCAATACATTTAAATTCTCAAACAGATGTCAAATACAGCTATCGATTATTATTAATATTTTTTGTGTGTTTGTTAAACAGTAACCAGTAACCTAAATTTTTAACAACAAACACATTTATTACCTTTTTTCTGGCATATACTTGGGCCATAGATTTCTGCTCATGCATCTCCTGGGGAATAGGGTCAAAAACCATATACCTCTTTTCTTTGGCTATTGACACTACATCTGCTAATACACAAATTTCAGTGTATGCGTTTCTAGAATATACACAAACAATTAATAACAAACCACAACGAATGTAAAGATATAAAACATTGATAATAATAAACATACCGCAACTTATTTCTGACCGAATCCCATGGCCAAATAGCAGACTGATATGCATCTTTAGATGTTTCATCTTCTCCATTTTCACTAGTTTCTGGATCTTTTTTGATATCTTCACATCCTGTTTTACTGAAATCAATCTTTGCAGCCAATTTAGTAAGGCTCTCAGACATAGTAAGAGGTCTACAAAAATAAATTAAATTTAATGAAAAACAATAAATTATTAGAATAATAAATCCATTAGCATCTCATAAAATATTCTTACGTCTGGTAAAATTCCTGCCCATCATAAGATATTTCCTGAATCTGATTTTCGACAGGAGCTTCAACTGCTATATTCACAGTATACCCTGGTAATCCTGCCATAGCTAAGTATTTAATTTACACTTAATGTCTTGGAATAAGAAATATTGAATTACTTTACGTATTTCCTTCAAGAAGCACGTACAAAATAAACCTAGATCCTATGAATCCTGATATCATTATTAAAAATGGGAGACTAATTATCTGTTTATAAATATTATTTCCATCAACGGCTTATATCTATCCCGGTCACCGTTATGAAATATATTAAATAGAATTAAAAATCTACAAATAAAGAAAATAGTGTACACTATGTAATTTATCTATGAGGGCAGAGTAATAGATTAGGAATACATAAATACAATACACTGTAGTTTTCTAACCTCCTAGTTGTTATAAAACATAGAGGTAGAATACATTGAAGATATGAAAACAAATATCATAACCAAACATGATAATATTTATAATTCAATGTTCCTCTGTAAGTTTACAAACCAAACAAATGTACGTAAAACGGCAAATATCCCATTTACCAAAAACAGGCTTTTTAGGAAGAACAGAAGTGACGAAAACTGTGAAGAAAAGATACCATATATAAAAACTATGTATATGTAGGGATTGGTGGCAACACTGATTTTAGGATTGTTCTGTTGTTTTTAATTGTTATAAAAATATACAAAAAAGATCTTTTGTAATTAGTGAAAATTACAATTGGCGACAAGAATTAAAACGAACTCAAACGATGTAGTACATGGAATGAAAGTAAGAGATGGAATCTGTATTTTGGATTTGTATTTGGTAAACCTTGAATGTGACAGTTTGTAATGTACCTCTATAAAGAACTAATAGTAAAAAAAAAAAAATTTGGTACAAATAAGGGAGTTATCCAGATGGGCATATTTATATTAAAATATATAAATACGAATACCATTTATATTTATGGTAATTTTGAATATAAATATGAATATATTTATATTCATAAAAAAAAACATGAATACAGATGATATGTATTCCCAACTGTGAGTATAAATATTAAACAGTGTAATCTCTTGTGTGGGATATTGAGGATAATAAGTGCTGAAAAGTTGAAAACTGTCAAATGGTTAACAAAGCCTCATTTGTTTCCTGAAGTAATTGCCTAAAATTAAGTAGTGTAATCTCTTGTGTGTTGGAAATCAAGGATAATGAGCCCTGAAGAGTTGAAAACTGCCAGATTAGAAAGAGCTCAGTGGAGAAATTTATTTACACCTTTAGCTACCTCAGTAGAAAAGAAAATAGCTGAATATGAGCCTGAGTTCAAGAAGGAATTTATAAAACTAGAAGCAAGAGCTAAAAATCTATTAGAATTGAAAAAAAGGTAAGAGCTTTAATACTAGTTGATGAAAATAGCTGGAGGATGAATTCGATGCATCCATAAGTTATCAGGACAAGTGGATAGATATAAAAAATAAATTTGAGGTTTCTCAACTTCTTCTTCGGTGCATACTATTTATTTTCAAATTTATTTATTATCAGCCAATTTTTAAAATATTGTCAACAAAGTTGGTTAAAAATGACAACTGTAACAAAGAGATAAAATATATTAGTTATGATAAAAGCGATAAAGTAAACCAAAATAATAAAATTAATAAAGAACCGAATTTAATAACAAATTATTTTAAAACTAAAAATGCCGTAAAACAAAAACCTTCCATGAACGATATACATGACAAGAAGACACAAAATGAAAAACAAATAAAAACAAACAACAACCTAAAAAATGTTTTAGCATCACATATATTAGAAATTTAACGGATAAAATAGAAAAAACATTTAAAAAATATTATGTAAATGAAATTAAATTTGCAAGCAAACCAATTAATAAAATAGATACAATTTATTCCAAAACTAAAGACAAAATACCTACCGATAAATTAACGAATATTATTTATAAAATAAATTGTAAAAATTGCAACAACAAATCATATTTTGGACAGACATCACAATGGTTTGAAAAAGGCTTAAACAGCACAAACAAAATTGTAGGTCAAAAAACACAAAAATTAAATTAGCTACTGGACTCTCTCAACATACTATGCAAACAAAACATGAATTTGATTTCAAAAATCCTGCATAATGAAAGTAATACGAATAAACGTGGAATAAAGGAAGCAATATACATAACGAAAAATTAAAAAAAAGCTAGGTAAATAATCATACAGACGTGGATAATATGAACACATTTTACACGAGTTCAATTGAAAAAATAAAAATTTTAAATGAATTAGCTAATTTCACTTAAAATAGGTCCACATATAATATTGGGAAACATCGTTGTATATGTTTAAAATAAATAATCTTCCCCTACTCCTTTATGAATAACCAGTCATTGAATAGAAATGAGACTGATGACATGTCGGTTATACATGATAAGGTAATTTTAACTTTATTGAATCATTTAATAAGAAATAATTGAGTAATGATAATGTTATAAAATAATTAAAGGTGGACATGACAAAAATAAAAAAAATTATTATGAGTGGACACATGCAATTCGCATAAGTGAAAAGGACAGGTACATGATGGGTATTTGGGTATAAAAAAGGATCTCTATATGTTGAAATATGTGATGTTTTAAATATGATTGTAAATTTTAAAAATGTTTTTAGACTTGAAAATGGCTCAACGAGCCGAAACGCCGTAATTAGATGCGATGTCTTTAAGTTGACAAAATTTTAAAAATTGGTGTGAAATTGGCTGTTAATAAATAAAGTTCAAAATAAATTTGAGAATTTGGTTGAGCATTCAAATAAAACTTGGCATGGTGATGATATTTCAGCAACTATCAGTCCTTCAAGAGAGAAATTACAGTTAGAAAAGGAAGAAATACTTTCATATAACCTTTTTGGGGACGTTGAAACAAAAGTTGAGCATGATGTCAAGCTTGAAAGTTTAACAGGTAAATTTTATGGTGAAGCGAACTTGGAAAGCATAAAAATTTACAGTAATATCCCTAGGTCAAATGATGAATGCCTAGATATATTAAAAGGTAAGAATATACCATGGAGCGATGGCGATGGTGAGAGAGACAATCAGGAGTTGATTCATGCAACAGATGTCATGGGACAAAACTTGACAGGAAGATTAGAACCAATAACTGAAAATTTGATAGCCACAGAAACTAGGCTAGGTTGGATAGTTATTGGGCAAACTAAAACACAGACCTGTTCCATGCTAAGAACACCTACGAGAGGGAGTCCTTTACAGCTCTTTGACTCTAGTGCATGTGAGTCTCACCATTCAGGGCAAGCTAGAATATCTTCAACCCATTACAATAGTTTACAAAGGGTTCGTCTAGATGATGGCACTACCAAGAAGACCGGATCGGTAGCAATTAAATTTTAATTCCAACCACTGTGTTACCCCCTGGAGTAAAAACATCTGTCATACCTACAGCTCGAAACAGTCTTCCCCAGGAGCATCACAAGAGATAGTATCAGACCTGTCGTCAGCCAAAGATCCCGTCAGAAGCAGATCTTAGTAAGAAAAGTACAAGGAAAGGAGTAACAACTGGTACGAATTCCTTTTCTATATATTTCATATATAGGTAAGTGAAAGTAAAAAAATTTATGCAAAAATTAAAATAATGTTCTGGACAGTAAGGAGTTTATTAAATAAAGTCCCATTCAACGTCACTCGTACAGAGAACCTTAATTGTCTTAACGAGCCGGTACTGCCTTGAAAATACTCACTAAAATCAAAATTCTGATCCAAACTACCAGACCTGCTAAAGAAACAGACTCAGTTTTGCTAACAATTTCATACATTATTATAAATGCAAAACTTAAACACATTAACGCAAATAGTCACACTTTTATTGCTCGTTCTTACTTTATTACTTTCTTACTTGAACTGCAGGTTCGGAAAGGTCACTATCCAAATTCATTGTCCTCTAAAGAAGTTTTCCAAAACTGGAAGAGAAGAAAAAACCAGCTAAGGAGAGTAGTGTATCTCGGTATGTTGTGGTATGTGATCTTACCACAAGACTAAAAAAGGAAGCATAAAACATTTTTTAAAGTAGTTTATTAAGTGTTCTTAAATTAATGATTTAACCTGTAAATTTTTGTATTGCATATTTAATTTTTTTTTGTTATTTTATATCAATTTACAATTTAAAGCATAAATTGTAAAGGTGGGAGTGTGTGGAGTTAATGCATGTTATCAAGCAGCACTGTAGCTGTTATAAACAAAGGCAGGTTGGCTTGGGTGAGGTTACCCTGAGAGTAGTAGTCCTTTTTCCTGATAGTGTGATGTTTATGTAGAGCAATACAGATGTTTTGTGTATTTGTGGTGCTAAAGTTTTTCAGCAGAGTCTCATTTGTTTCCTGAAGTGATTTCCTGACATCACCCACAGAGACCATTTTGCGGGACTTGGTTATTTGGACTTAGGGAACCTCAAAACATGTTTTTCCGTTGAAAACTGAGGTTCGAAAATTTACAAAATCGCAATTATTTCCTTTACTATATATTTCATATATAGGTAAGTGATATGATATATATTTCATATATAGGCATGGGGGTTTACGAGCAAAGCTCGTTCAGTATGGTATAAATATCGATCCCCTATGCCCAAGTTGTGGGGTATCGGAGACCGCTGAACATGTTGTACTTTCCTGTACGGTCTATGAGTCACTGAGGGCGAAACTGTTGAGAGAAACAGGTCTCTGTCGTAACAGAGAGAGATCTTCCTCAACTTATGGCCAAAGACAAATACGTTCACTTCAAACGATTTATATACGGATGGAAAGAAGTTGTACTACCAACCCACTTCTCTTTGGGAAGAAGAAGAGAAGCTGCACCGGGGAGGCCACCAGAATAAGAAGAAAAGAAAACCAGATGCAAGTGAAGAGAAGAGCAAGCTGTGTGGACAGCTCAGAACAATAATGTAATAGCCAAAAAATGCAGCAGTGGGTTGTTATGTAACAGTAACATCCCACTGCTGCAAATACCCGTATTGCCTTCAGGCAGGGGAGGGTTGAAAATAAAATAAAAATATAGGTAAGTGAAAGTAAAAAATGTATGCAAAAACTAAAATAAATTTCTGGATCTCACTAAAATCAAAATCCTTATCCAGACTGCAAGAGCCTGCTAAAGAAACAGACTCAGTTTTGCTAACGACTCATGCATTGCTCTAAATGAAAAACTTAACACATTAATGCACTATTCACTTTTAACGAGGTGAACAAAAAATAAACGATTGGTGTAAACTATGGAAAACTCAAATAAATTATCAAAAGTCACAACACATCACATTTACTCTAAGACTAGAAACATGCCCTGCTGTATACTCAGACAACATACCGATTCCACAAACAGATATAGTACAATACCTAGGCCTGACGTTTGACAGAAGAATGACATGGGGTCCACATGTAAAGAAAAAACGTACATCATTAAATCACAGATTAAAACTGTTGTATTCATTATTAAGAGACATTCTAAATTAAAAGCAAGACAGAAATTAAATATTTATACATACCTATTAAAATCTCTCTGGACTTATGGACTACAAATATATGGAATTGCAAAACCAACTCACATAGAACGACTTCAAACTTTTCAGTCTAAGATACTACGACTAATTACCCAAGCACCCTGGTACGTGAATAATAACACTTTACACACTGACTTACAAATTGCAACGATCAATGAACAATCAATCAATGAACGATCAATACATGGACACTTCAACCAGCTAATTAAAGAAATGGCCACTATCATTATGCCGGAGAACTCCAGAAGACGACTGAAGAGGGTCTGGATGAGGGACCTACTTACGTAATTGTATGTAAGTAAAAGCCATGGAAAGGATGCTGCTGGGTATTGCTTTACCTCATGCCTATCAAGCCTTTTTATTTATTTTATTTTATTTATTTTCTCATGACTGTGCCAACACATCTGCTGATTGTCAATAGTTGTAATTGACAGGTGCGGATAAATATATGTAAGTGCAAAAAAAAAAAAAAAAAAAAAAAAAAATACGGCCTTATTTATATTTACAGTTGTGAATACGTATCATCTGTTTTCATGTTTGTTCTTATGAATATAAATATATTCATATTAATATTCAAAGGTGTCATAAATATTAATGGTATTGGTATTTATATTTTTGAATATAAACCTCCCATCTCTGGAGTTATCCCTCTACAAGTCAGAGTTTTTCTTACAAATAAAACAATCTACGGAGGATGAAACGAAAAAAGCTATTTTTCTGAATGCCCTAGCAGAAGATGCTTTTAAGCTTTTATCTAATTTGTGAGTTCCAAAAGCTGCTATCGATTTAATGAATAATGAATTCGATCATATGCTTCTATATAAAAATTGATTCACCAAAATATAATTAACAAGATATATTAGATTGATTTTGATAACTTTTGGAGTTCTACCTCTTTGGCACTTTCCCCTCCAAATATTCCTAAAAAGAAAACTACCCCCTCTCCCGGAAGGTTTGTTAGTGTTGAAAGGAATTGAATCAATCAGCAGTTAGCCGGTCTGCTGGTTGGTCGTAGTTGGAGTGAAATCGAAAGTTGTCACGAAACTGGGGTATTCTCCAACTTTCCCTAATATTTTCAGTTTAAAGAATATAATTTGATCATTTCTTACAAGGGAAGACGTTTATATTTTGATATTATTATTTGATTTATATCAAAACAAACAAAATGGCAAACTTTCATCATGTAAGTATTTAATATTTTACCTCTAGGATTCTGAAATATTTCTATGAAAACATTAAAAACAACTGATAAAATGTTAGATAGATTGTACAAATTATTTCCATTAATAAAGTAAATCAATATTAATTGGACATATCTTCTATAAATTACTAAGTATTTTAAATTTTTTATTAGAAATTATTAAACAGAAAAATGTCTCTATTCTTTCCTTGTTATAAGAATCTGTTATACTTGCATTTCTGGGTGTTGTCAAAGTTATATATCAATCCAAAAAATATTTTATAAAATGTAAGAAAATTTATAACTATTTTGAAATCTATCTCTGAATGAAAATTTAAATTATGGGCATTAATTACTTTTTTATTCTTTAGTATGGTTTCTGTGGTGTAGAGATTTAGGACTAATCAATATAGTTTAATTCAGTTGGTTAATCTGACAGATTACTGGACTGTCATTAATAATAAATTATTTAAATCTTTTTGTTTTGAAGATAAAGTTACATTTTTTTAATTTTATTATTATTAATATTTATTGTTAATTAAGTATCAATTAATTTATATTGTGAATAATGTAAGCTATTAAGCACCTAATGTTTTAAAGGGATTTGAATTTCTTTATATTTCTTTTTTTATTTTATTAGATTTTGTTATTTAAGTTTTTAAATATTATAATACATGTCTTTACAAAGCTTTAATCATATTTAATTTTTACCAATCTTGACGTATTTTAATATTTTTAGGTGGTCTATATTTTTAGTTAAAGATGTTGAGGGATGATTTTCAATATTTTAATTCAATTAAACAAATACTAGTCTCTTTGATCTTAGGTTCTTTTATTATGGAAACAAATAATAAATATAATTTTAAATTTTGTTGTTTGACTATGTGTTTAGGTTGTTTCAAAAGCAAGAGAAACATTTGAAAGCGGGAAAACTCGCTCTTATGAATATCGTAAAAAGCAACTTGAAAATTTCAAGAGAATGGTGCAAGAAAACGGAGATAAAATTGCTCAATCATTAGAACAGGATTTGAAAAAGGTTTGTCACAGTTCATTTTTCATTTGTTTATTTGTAATTCATTAATACCATTTTAATGTTGTTTTTTCTATTTAGTGCAAAATGGAGTCATTCTTTACTGAAATTGGTCTTTTGGTAACTGAAATTGATTACATTTTGGAGAATTTAAAACAATGGATGGCGCCAGACAAAGTAAGTTATTATTGCGATTTTCCAAGTATAGCTTAAGAAATTACGCTTATGACTTCTACTGTTTTGAATTACTTATAAACTATTTTTTTTTATATTATTCAGTTCATTGCTTATTGTTGCTATGTTTATTGGTAGCAGTTCTACCTTTCAGTATATTTTTTTGTATTGTCTTCAATTAATTTATCATTAATATTGTTTGTCTAACTTATAAATATTCCCTAGTTATTACAAATAACTGAGTTAATGTGAAACAAATTAAGAGTATAATTCATTTAGTAAAAACATATTATTTCAATTTAATAATAAAAATAAAAACGATCTCTCTTCTCTTTTTTTATGGTTTATTTTGAATAAGTTTTGAGCGACGTTTTTTTTGTATATTTTCCTTTTAACTACTCTTAATTCTTGAAGAGTTTTTGGTAAAGTTTAGTGTCTCTTTATTTGTTGTTTCTACTAATTCCTGAGTTTCGATAGTATTCATATCTTCTTTCAGCCTTCTGATGGCTACTTTAAAAAATCAGAATATTGGATGTTAAGAAAGAATGAACAAAACAACTTTTTTTTGCTTCTCAGTATGTTTATTAATGATGGATAATAAATCACGACAAATCAGTCTTTCATTTTAAGTATATTTTTCATATATTAAAAATCAGTTAATCCTAATAAATATTAAATATTTATATTTCGATAGAACACTTAATTACCTTTAATTACGTATGCTAAGTTATGGGAAATATTCCTCCCCTTGAAATTATGAGGTTTAATAAAAAATTAATGTAATTATGTTTTTTTCTATTGTTTATATTTCTCATAAGAGAATAATTTGACTTGATAATTCTTAGTCTATTTGGTATGCATTGTTTCCGTTGAATTTTCAGTGTTATAAGAATTTTCTTGTTTAACCAACTAGGCAACTCTTTTAAATAAGGGATCTGGAGCCTATTTTTACACTTGTCCTTGATAATGATTATGATTGGTTCTCCAGCTCTTGTTACTCAAGAGGAATTTTAATTTCACATGGGAAAAAATTATTAAATCTTTAAATGAAATTAATTTTTATCATTCATTTTATTTGATCAATTTTTAACAATAATAAAATGTTTCTGGAAGAAAATCTGATTTTTACAGTTTCATTTTGTATTTTCTCATGATATAATTACTGATTTACTTCTATATTATTGGGAATATTTAAAATGAATTCAAATTGCATGTCCGACTATGCTAGCTAGATCTCATTCAGTTATTGTCACAGATTTGGTTGTGTTTTATTTCATTTCCTAATTGTATCCATCTATTCTCTTCTCGTTTTAATTTCAAGACTAATGAATATTGCATTTAGATGGTTCCAAAATAAAGTGCTACTTTGCTTACTCACTTTACTACCCATTTTTAAAGTAATGTTCCAAAAAAAAAATCTTAGACCTCAGAACACCTAACCAAAATACAGGTCAATTTAATGATCTTTAATTCAGAATTTTTGTCAAATGTTTCATTGTAGTTATGACCACAGGCGGATCTACTGGAGACGGGTGGTTAGGGCTTTCGGGCTGAAGCCCACACAATATGGTAAAATATAACCATGTTTTATGGAAAAAAATATCTTTAAAGGTATTATTGTTCGTCTAATTACAGTTAATAGGACTTCACCAATCACTTAAAGAGCATTTAATATAGTAGTAAGTTTCTTTCTTTCTTCCGAAGCCATTATATTTAAAAAAACAAAAAACTTTCGACTGAAGCCCCACCCAAAATTAAATCCTAGATCCGTTAGTGGTTATGACAAATGCTGCTTTGGTAATACATTTTTTTTTCTAAGACCTGATTATCAAAAACGATAAGTTGGGAAACATTATTATAGTAAAAATTAATTTATTGATGCAGTGATATTTTTTAATAAGTAAATTACAAAATAAAATAATATACATAAATTTTGTTTTCCCTCTTTCTTTTTTGTCATTCTAATCTTCAATTTTTCTTTCTTGGTATCGAACTATTTAGGTCTTCTTACTGCCCTCTCTCTAATAAGTAAAAATTTATATAAATATTATGGATATAACATGAGAAGGAGTTAGTTGAGAGTGCGGTCAAATAAATAATAAATTAAAATATATTAATTATTTTAATTTTTGCCGACGTTTCGACCCATTTTGCAGGTCGTCTTCAGGGCGTAGGATGTAGCACTGCGGGAGGCAGTTGAAACACTGGCAGTGTCAAAAAAAAAAGCTCTGGTAAGTTTGAGAGTTTTTTTTTACACTGCCAGTGTTTCAACTGCCTCCCGCAGTGCATCCTACGCCCTGAAGACGACCTGCAAAGTGGGTCGAAACGTCAACAAAAATTAAAATAATTAATATATTTTAATTTATTATTTATTTGACCGCACCCTCGACTAACTCCTTCTCATATTATATCAACGGTCAACCATCTCTACATCATTATGGATATAACAATTAGTTTAAAGTTTTGTTGTGTCTGTCAAAAAATTCGTCATTACCATACTTTCCATTTTTGCTACGGTAATGACAGATATTACTTATGCAGGTGAGATAATGGAAGTTTCCTTTTAAATATCACTAAGAAAAAAAATTTTTTTATAAGTATAAATAATCCTTTTCGGTTCCCTTAAACTAACTTTAAAGATATAATTTTGCATTGAAAAGTTTTTAAAATAATAATAATAATGCTAATGACCAAATAACTTGTACTTACCTCACTGACGATTTTCCTCTTTCACTGACTAAGATAAACTCATTTAAAAACAGTGAAAAGCAAAGTTGGTAAACTGTCTTAGAATAACCCTTATACAATGTTACCTTCTTGAGAATTATGAATTGTAATTATTGACAAACTAATATTGTTTACACAGCCTGAGAAGAATTTAATTACGATGCTTGACAAAGTGAGGATCTACAATGACCCAAAAGGAGTCGTGCTAGTCATGGGTGCGTGGAACTACCCAATTAATCTGACACTTATGCCTGTTATCGGTGCCATTTCTGCTGGTAACTGCGTTATTATCAAGCCATCCGAAGTCGCTCCAGCTTCAGCCAATGTCATCGCAGAACTCATCCCGAAATATCTTGATCCCGTAAGTTTTATATTTTATAACATTTTGAGTATTTATTGTTGTACAGTATATAGATTTTAAAAACTCCAATCAATAATTTATATTATATCAGCTTTTATAACCGTATTGTATAAATATTACCACTAATTAAACATAGATTGCAACTTGAAAACAAAAATTTTATTTTGTTGATTTATGGTTGATATTTATAAAAAAGGAGTAATAAATGTATTTTTATCTTGTGTCAAAGAAAACATTTCTTTGATCTTATATCTAGCACACTTCAAAGTATATTTTTTGTTCTGTTTTTCATGATTTCTGAGATTATTAACTTTAATATTTTTATCATTCTGAAAGTTTTTTTTTAATATATTATTCTTAGATTTTTGTTTCGATATTATTGAACAAAACTTACAAAGATTTAATTATTTATAGTTAGTACAAAAATTTAAATTATTTTCAGATTTTATTTAATCAACTTTCAACATTTGGCATATTATTTGATCGTCACAATATTTTTTACTTATTATATTTTTTTTTTGGAACAAAAAATACTTTATATATGCAGAATTTTTGATTGAGGGTCAGAATTCTTCTGTTTCCAACTCTTGAAATGTAAGGTCACCCTGAAGTTAGAAGTGTTTCCTTGATATTATAGTCCGTGGTACACATCCCTTTTTATCAAATTATTAACATCCAGTTGAAACTTCGTTAATAGCTTCATCTAACTTTAACCTACAAATATTTTATTTTCGAAAATTCTCGGAATTGAAGGTCATTCGAGCGGTTTGCCCTATATAAACTCGTTGTTTTGATAATTTGGGAGTTTAGGACACGCCAAACCTCTCAATATTTTTGAAGGCCATCTTTTTTTTTTCCAGTTTGTGCTCAAGTTATCTTACGATTAAAGAGAAAATCAAATGGTTATTTACGAGTTTTAGTACCTAATTAAATCGACAAAGTTTGCCGACCTCCAATTTGAAAACGTCCCAATTCCTATAATTTTCGTAAATAAAATATTTGTAGGTTACGATGAGATGAAGCTATTTACGAAGTTTCAGCCGGATGTTAATAATTTGATAAAAAGGGGTCTGTACCACGGACTATTAACATTGATCTTGTCAGACCATATCTGAATTCATAAGCTCTAATTTTTAGTAGAATCGTAAGATACCTTATAAGAAGATAATGAATCCGGATTTTACTTTTTATAAAATCATAATAGTCATAAACATAGTAAATAACATGATAATTTATTCCTTCTAAAAACATTAGTTGCGGTGGAATCAAAAGTCTTTACTCCGAATTTTTCATCAAGTAAAGGATTAAAAAAATGAATAAAATTTATGAATTTTGTCGAAATTATGACCAAATTACTTATAGTTCGTTTAGAGAAATCGTACCGACATGGGATCACCGATTTCAATGAAACTTTTTTTGGTGATACTAGGTCGAAAAATATCAGACTTACTTCCGAAGGTTCTTAGGAATATGCCCCAAGAGCCGAAAATGTTTTTTATAAAACTATAATTTTTTATATTTCTGTTTTATGTCTTGATTCTACATGTATTTCTAAGTTATTATACATCAATTGATTATTTTTTAAATAAGAAAAAAAAATTCTAATTTCGGTATTAATTAAACGAATTCCAATGTATAATAAATTATAAAAACCGATAAAGTTGGCCAAGTAAATTTTTTTCGTGGAAAACGAATCAGGTTCGTTTTTAGTATCCTTTAAAACTCTTAAGTACTAATTTATTTTTAAATAAAAAATATAAATTTTTGGACTCAATTTTATGTTGGATTTTTTTTATTTTATGACGTTTCCTAAGACATTCATAGCTCCCCAGGTTTTTCTCTCATGTCAAGGCTAAATTATTGCTCTTCCAAACCTCAAGAATAATTCTTAAGTTTTACGCCTTTATAAGGAATAAATAAAGGAAAACTGCTCAAACTTTTTTTTTTTTTATATCTCCAAGCCTATTTTATAAATAAAACAGGCGTCTGGTTTGTGTCATTTCTTGTATTTAATAGGTTATTATCGTATGGAGCCATGTAGAAGTGATTTCTATCATTTTCGAGAAATATCAAACAAAGGCTCCAGTTAAGATAAAAATTTCAAGCAAAAATTTTTTATTTTTCGATTGCTATGAAATTTTGTATTTAATGGTTTTTCGAAGATTTAAAAATCTCAACTTTGTTTTTCCTTAAAAAAATATTTTAACCCACTTTGCAGGTGTCAAAACTGGAGAATTAAAATAAATTCGCACAAATCATCTTTACCCTTCCTCGTAAATCTATGATTTCCTGTCCTACAGTATCCTTTAATAACACCCCACTTATCCCAGTTGAAGAAATCTATATCTAAAACCACCTGGACAAACGTCTCACTTTGAATCCTCATACAAGACTGAAACGACAAGAAACTGCTCGACGTTTCCGATTACTTCAAAACTTACTAGACAAACGATCTAAGCTTCCAATTTATTACAAAAGACTCATATACTTAACTATAATAAGATCTACTTTTTATTTAGATAAGATCTACTTTTTATTTGGATTTATGGAGTTGAGCTATGGGGCTCCACTAAACCATCAAATTCCTTTCGTATCCAATCCTTACAATCCAAAATGGTTCATAAAATCCTCAATGCTCCCTACTTTATCACAAATAAAATAATCCATAACAATCTTAATGTTCCATTTGTTTCCGATTTGGCCCAATCCAGAGATCTATACTTCCATAATAAACTTCATAACCATCCTAATCCTCTCGTTTCTAACCTTGCATCCTCTTCGATTCCTGATAATCCTCCGAGGCGTCTGAAAAGAAGATGGCCTCGTGGTCTCCTTATATAGACATATTATTAGAGTGCTACCAGTGGGTAGTTTCTCATTTCTTATGTCTGTGTACACATTTAATTGATGTATTTATTTTATAATACAGTTGTAAATATCTTGAATAAATAGTTTTAAAAAAAAAGATCCACTTTGCTCCATCGATCAGTTCAGTTTCAATATTGTACTCGTACAATACTTATATACTACATATAATTTTTTTTCTCATCCAGAAATCTTAAATAACTTTACATGTCCAGATTTGGTCGGAAAATAAGAAACGTCTATTGTACATATTATATGCAATATACAGAACCGGATACCATCAAATATATATTTGTTTATAAACAAATATATTTGAAATGCTATTTCGAATTTTCGAGAGAACCCACTAACATGGGTTTAATATTTTTCGACCTCGTATAACCAAAAAAAGTTTTGTTGAAATCGGTGACCCCACGTTTGTAACCCTTGTTTGTTAGATAGACTGCTGCTAACTTTCATTTTTCATTAACAGCAATCCATTTGTATGCACCCAATTACCTTGTCTGATATTTCAAGTATTCCTTGATTTTATATATATATATATATATATATATATATATATATATATATATGTATATATATATATATATATATATATATATATATATATATATATATATATATATATATAAAAGTAATTATTTGCCCCATAAAAATTATTAGGTAGCTCTAGTGACCAAATTGGATGGCCTTTCTTAATATTGTTTCATTCACCTATTACTTATTATAAATATAGAATAAGCAAATGAGAAAATCACTTTATTGTTTAAATTATGTTTGCTACCGTTTCACTTGTTTTTTTTTCATGTAGTATTTTGTTTTCTATGCAGTTTACAGTGCGAAGTAGGAATTCCGGTTGGTAAAGGCACATTCGTGATGCTAGACTGGCCTTGGCGGTTAGGATCAAAGGATGTGGGGATGGGAATAAATAAAAGTCAATTTGGATGGAAACACTGCTCTGCCATTTTCCCATATAAAATACCATTGACTTTAAAATAAACTGGTTCTTTGGGTAATTAAAACGTTTCAAGAAAAACGCGAGCCTTATCTAGTTTGGAAGACAATTAGGCTTTTAAACATAATACTTAAAATTCATCTTTACACTTTAAATCAAGTTGACTACTTACAAAATACTTACTTTTATACCCGTTTTATTTTAAAATAATTAAACAATGAAAAAGTTGATTTTGTTATTGTACAATATTTTTAATCCCTTTATGAGTAACACACTATTTTTGTTTCTCTCTAAAACAAATCCCAATCAATCAATTTTTTTTTTTTTAAACGGGCCTTGAAGTTAAATTCTTTTCAAAAGCGACCCTATTAAAATTTAAATGTTTTTGAATTACTATTTTCAAATAATCAGTGCTTTTCGGAAATATGTGCCATATAAATAATATAAAGAATTTCTTAATTTATTTTTTGCTTCCTCACTACCGAAAGTTAGGAAGCATTGTATTTTTAAATATTGGTATAGTTCTCTTCGTTTTCTGAAAATTCTTCAACAATGAAGTTGTACTTCGGAAATAAATGAATCATGTGTATTTCGAGCGTACCCCAAGGCTGCCGCAAAGAATAGAAAAACGATTTAGAATTGTGTCATCTACTTCATCATGTTGTGCAGAATGCTTCTGAGAGGATCACAACACGCCTACTCATGAGAACCATCTTTCTATTTATCAAGTTGTTCTCTGTGACCTTTTTTAAACTTTAAACACTTTAAATCAAGTTGACTACTTACAAAACGAGTAGTCAATAGTAATGGGATATAGAAGGTCCAGTATCATCGGACTATAACTTTCGATACCATAAACATATCGAACTTGAAAGATCGATAGTAGATATTGTCTTCGATGTAATATTTTTTTTTCAATATGAATATCAATATAAATATTGATTATCTAGCACAGAGGGGGATCAAAAATATTTTATTTTCCTCTTCAAATTAATTAATGAAAATATCAATTCTTCTTCCCTCCTTAGTAAAATTAATTTTCTAGTTCCTGTCCTGTCATCCTCAGTTTTTCAAGAAATTTCCATCCAACCAATTATGCTTTCCATTCACCCATAGATCGGGTTCAGCTAATTTATTTGCATCCTACATAGATTTCTTTGATAATTCGTGGCCTTGGTTT